AAAAGGGTTGGTGCTGAGGGTATCTGAACGATTCTTTTGCCTGTAGATGGAGGGCGTCCCAGCTTGTAGCAGTCGGATCTGCTAAAGCCGCCACTTTGCTTTGGAATTCACGAGTGAGGTGAGCAAGGAATGAGGTAGGGAAGGCGATTGCCTCCTGGATCCGTGAGCCTCAACGACATCCATACCTTGATACCATGGCGAAGCGGACAGCCCCCTGATGTCAGAGCCCAAGCCCGAAAATATGCATCTCCGTTGCAATTCCCTAAACCCTAAACCCTAAACCCTAAACCCTAAACCCTAAACCCTAAACCCTAAACCCTAAACCCTAAACCCTAATTTTAAGGGCCTAGGGGCCGAAAGTTGAAAGTCCAAGCGGCCAGGATACTCCATCGCCTTCTTCTGCGATCCGGACTCCACGGAGCCTCACAGTTAAATGCACGGTAGGGTTTAGGGTTTAGGGTTTAGGGTTTAGGGTTTACGGGGATGATCACAGGGACGTGAGGTTAAAATCCTTCTGCTGCCTCGGCCCTGCTTTGGAACAGCGTGCATCCTTCAGACCAAGCATTGCAGCCCAAAGAGCTTAAAACCCTAAACCCTAAACCCTAAACCCTAAACCCTAAACCCTAAACCCTAAACCCTAAACCCTAAACCCTAAACCCTAAACCCTAAACCCTAAACCCTAAACCCTAAACCCTAAACCTAGGAAACACGTGCCAGGATCCTAAGCCACAGCCCCTCAGCCCGCAAAGCCCCTCAAGGAGTTGGTCGAGGTCCTGCCAGACTCCGCGGCAGCACTGGGCAGGGATCAGCATGTTCGGGGTTTAGGGTTTAGGGTTTAGGGCTTAGGGTTTAGGGTTTAGGGTTTAGGGCTTAGGGTTTAGGGTTTAGGGTTTAGGGGGTTTTGGGGTTCAGGTCTTTGGGCTTCCAGCGCTGTTTATCTATCGGATTTGAGCGCTTAGAGGGTTCCATAAAGCCCATAACGATGTATCCTGAAATCACCACCAGCACGGAGTAGTCGGACGTAATAATCGTTGGGCCATTCCGAACCTGCCAAGACCAAGAGGTGTGGGTTTAAGGTTTAGGATTTAGGGTTTAGGGTTTAGGGTTTAGTGTGTCTGTGTGTGTGCGTGTCTAGGACCCAGAGCAGGCCCTCGTTCACTTTTTAGTGTTTAGGTTCCCTTTCCCCTTCAAGCCCAAAGCAAGGGCGTCCCCTGTATTCCTAGTAGGTTACTCTTAGGTGTGCGTGGAAGGGACAGGTTGGAAGCCCTAAACCCTAAACCCTGAACCCTAAACCCTAAACCCTAAACCCTAAACCCTAAACCCTAATCCCTTGGAAGCCCATGGTGTGGGGACTCTACGGATTCTAGGGCTCAAGGTTTCGCGATTTTGGGTCTGGAGGGAAGTCGCGGCTCGTGATTGCGAAGTTGGGCAAGCACCTTGGGGGTTGAAATGAACCCTAAAATTGGGGGTCATATACCCTATACTACTATAATTCCTATCAGGGTATATGAGCCATAAACCCTTTTAGGGTTCATTTTTGAGGGTCTCGACATTTTGTGCTCTAAGGCCTGTTGAAGTTAGGATTGGGACGGTCCCAGCCTTGCGAGCCCTAGCCTGAGGAGTTTGCAGCCTCGGCGAAGGCAGATGACACTAAGCGCCTGTGACATGGAGAGGGTTTAGGGTTTAGGGTTTAGGGTTTAGGGTTTGGGGTTTAGGGTTTAGGGTTTAGGGTTTAGGTTTTAGGGTTTAGGGTTTAGGATTTGGGGTTTAAGGCTTGGGGGTCTTCCTAGTACTTCTGGGAATATGGAGGCTTTGGGAATCAAGGACGCCCCAAGCCCCTTTGGGGTTCATGTGGTCCGCCAAGGTTCAAATTGTCTCCAAAAGGGCGCCCAAGCCCACCTTGAATCCCTAGTAGTAGAGTAGGGAGCCTTTAACCTTTGTGGGGTAGTATAATCCCTTTATAATCCCAAAGGTTAACCTTTAGTTCCCCCAGGTTACTGGACAAGTAGGCTTCTGGGAATTTGGAGGCTTTGGGAATCAAGGACACGTACCTCTCAGCCCCGAGAACAAGACTTGGTCACCAAACACGGCCCGAAGGAGAACGCAACTAGCCCAATGTGAGGGGGGAAGCCAAGGTACCCCCCCATCACGGCTGGTGACTTCTTGCGAGCGTGCCTGAATGGGTCGCTTCTAGGCGCGTGGGAGCACGGCAAGGGCGTTTCAGATGGGTACTGCGGACTGGAGTAGCGTTGCTTTGATTGTGGACTCAGGTGTCTCTTCACCAGTGTTTCGACTTCCCGCCACTGCCCTTCATAAACGTCGCCTCCCTAAACCCTTAACCTTCAACCCTAAACCCTAAACCCCGAAAAAACCCGCAAAGTCCTTTCCGGCACGGGCGGCCGACCCAAGAATTTAAGAGGCAGGGCAGGGCTTCCCAGAGGGTTGGTTGATTTAATTGCTATGCAGGTTAGGCAGTTGATGGAGACAGCCGCCCCCCTTTAGTTGGCTGAGATACGACGTGCTCGAACCTGCCACTGAAGCTTGCAACTGTGGCAACTGTGGCAACTGTGGCTTAGTCTCACGGGCCCCTAAAAAACCACATCCATGCAAGGCTCTATTGGGTGGCTCTTGGGTCCCTACAGTTACAGGGTTGAATGAATAGCTGTCCGGACTCAGCACTGGCTTTGAATCCTGAACCTTCCAAAGTTCTGCGCAGACTTCGAACACAGAGTGTCTAAGGTCTTCCTTAGGGCGTCTTTCGGGGTCCCTGGGTGGGTCACTAGGGCGGGAGGCCTGCGCAATTTTCGGTTTCCAGGCAGGCTGCCAGGCTCCACATGCCCCCACCCCCCCCCCCCCCCCCGCCTGCCTTTTCACGTTTTCTGTAAGGGAGGAGTGGGACTTGCCTCCCTAGAACCATCCAACACGCCGCCCCAAATCGGTAGATCGTACCTGTTCAATCCTTGAACCTTCAAGGCCCAACCCCAACAAGGTTTAGGGCTTAGGGCTCAGGGTTAGGGCCTAAGGCTTAGGGTTTTGTGCTTTTGGCAAAGGGTTTGGGGTTTGGGGTTTAGGGTTTAGGGTTTAGGGTTTAGGGTTTAGGGTTTAGGGTTTAGGGTTTAGGGTTTAGGGTTTAGGGTTTAGGGTTTAGGGAGACCTCGAAACCTTGGAGGCCAAGTCGGTGAGGAGGCTCAGCGTGCCCTCGTCGTCTGAGAGTGGCCACGAAGGTCTTTGCGCCCTCCCCCCTCAAAGCCCTGCCCATGAGGTGCCTTGCGCCTCTCGTCAGGGGGGGTAGGGTTCAGGGCGTATGGTTTCTTGAGCCTGGCCTTGACTAGGCTCGTGGACATGCCTGAGCATTTCTGTTTTGCCGGAATGTGTTGTAGCTTTCTGCTATGCTGTTGACATGGCCGGAACCCTGCAATGTCCACACCGGGATCCGAAGTTGCCCCAACTTTTGTCTTCTGGGATCCGTGCTTGGCGATCCCACGCATGTCACTCCCGCTGTTGAGGCGTGCGTCACCGGAGGACCGGCAAAAGAAAAAGGGCCATGTCTTGCTAAATGGAGGCTTGAGGGTGCGCTTAGGGATCCCTCGAATCTGCAATCAAGGCTTCACAAGCGTATTCGCTTTCCACCGTCCGTCCCTTGTCACCTCTAAACACTGCGCAGACTTGCAAATGGCTCGAGCTGCCGGGCTTAAACCTAACAGCCCCACCCTACAGCGGCGAAGGTGAACTCTGAACTGATAAGTGTCAAGAGCTTAACATTTTTGAGGCTTAAGACTTCGTTGAGTCTCATGAGTTTAGGCCCCAGATTGAGGCATTCTACAACATCCAACAAAGTGGCTTTGAGAGCCTAGGGTGGTAGACCTGTGCGGCATTCGGGCATACACGCTAGCCCCCTCAACCCTATAGCTGATTAAACCATTCTACGGTTTATGCTTGGGCGGGCGGGGGGGGGGGGGGGGTGGCGAAATCGGAAAGTGGGAGCTCATTCTGCTTTGAGAGATCCTCCAAGCTTTGAAGCTTCAGAATTCCTTCAGCTCCTTAGGTGTTTCAGCGTCTTTGACACCTTGTTGGGGCGCGTTAGGCGCAAAAAGTCAAGTTATTTAGTGTCAAATGTTCCTGAAGGTTTCACAACACTGCGAAGGTCATGGACCTCACAAGACTGCCAGGCAGTCCTTCTGGGTTCTTTGTTGGCACAGGGCTGCGGAACGAAACAACACAACCCTTGAAGGCAGATAGCCGTAGAGGTCCTATAGGAATGTTCAGGATGAACCCTGTGAGGGTTGTGTGCGCGTCAAGCTTTGCGGAATGGAGACGCCTCTCCCTGGCATTTTATCGCCACGACGACGGTGCATGGCAAGCGCAACTTACGGGGGAGCAGGATCCATGGCCCAAAAAGTGACACAACAGTTCGGCACTTCACGGGCCGGAGGCAGGAGAGCCATTCAAACCACGGGGGTGTGCGTGGGGGACGCAGGCGGGATGCGCACGGAGCCGAGGTGGGAGCGCGATGTTGATCACGGAATGTGTCACGGCACGTAAGTGGGAGCACTCTTTCAAAGCCCGACTTCGATGCTTCCCGAGCAGGGCTTTGGACCGCGGGGAGAGAGCACGGTCCGAGGCCCATAAGCCGGGGTAGCCCTCTCTACTTCACGCGGAGTATGCCCACAGGACCGAGGCGAGAGCGCAAGCGTGAAGAGATGAAAAGGATTGAGACGAGGGCACGACTTGTCACGACGACGCCAGTTGATTTTGCTATGAAAATCCGTGACCCCCAAAGTCTGCAACCGATCCAGAACGAGAGCTGCGCTAGGCGAGGGCCACGGAATTGGGCCGCGGGTGCTGCGCATTCACAGCAACCCCATCCTCCTTACTTGTGTCGTTGGAACCGCGCAGTGTTTAGGGTTTAGGGTTTATATAGGTTTTGGAGCAACCCACCCAAAACCTTAAATCGTACATGGCACATCGGCGTAGAAAGCTGATCAGCAGCTCGCGCTGAGGCATGTCCGCCAAGATGTCCGAGGTCGCAGCGCCCTCGAGTTCTCAGGAGTTTAGCGCATGAGAGCATGAGGGCCATAAGGCTCCAGATTGAGGATTTTGGGCTTTGGGGGTTGAGCGTGTTGAGTTCAGGGGGTTTGGGTTGGGCAAGAAAGCATGGCCGATGGCGCTGCGCGACGCCGAAAAGGAAACCGAAGCAATCTTGCCAGACCTGCCTAAACTCAAAAGGAAGGGGTCTGCTCAACCCTTCGATTTAGGTTCGCGCAAGCTTGCTTTAAACAGCATCAACGCCATCAAGAGGAAGTGCTTCGAAAGAACTACGAATCCTTGTCGTTATCTGCGCACTGTGTTAGCAGGGTAGTGAGCTAAACCCGAAGCCCTAAACCCTAAACCCTTTATTGATCCCTTTATAGGGGGGCCCAAACTCCTGGAGGCGAGGCCGGGACCTGCGACAAGCGACTCCACAGGCGCCTTAGGGTTTAGGGTTGAGGGTTGAGGGTTGAGGGTTGAGGGTTGAGGGTTGAGGGTTTAGGGTTTAGGGTTTAGGGTTTAGGGTTTAGGGTTTAGGGTTTAGGGTTTAGGGTTTAGGGTTTAGGAGCCCTCCGGCTCGGAAGGGTCAAGCGCTTCTGATATGGGCACTTCCCAAAATAGGGGCACGCCCTTCTATCCCCCCAAATAGAACCCTAAACCCTAAACCCTAAACCCTAAACCCTAAACCCCGGTTTAGGGTTTAGGGTTTAGGGTTTAGGGTTTAGGGTTTAGGGGAATAGAATCAGAATCCCTGAAAGGGACCCCCAAGAAGGGTACCCCTCTGCTCGGAAAATCCCATGTTGTTGTGGACTCCTCATGCCGGATTCGTGCCCGATTCGGTGTTCGACTTTTGTCTGGGCACTTTCGGAAGATCCTGCCAGGTCTAGGGAAAGGATGTAGGGCCCGGAGTTTTTTCGGGGAATTGTGAGAGGACCCTATATAAGCCCGAAGAGGAACCCTTTCTGCGGTGGTTTTCAGGTTTCATGGGGTTTCAAAGCGCAGAAAGCTTCCACCATGCCCTCTCCCGCAACCAACCCGCCCACATGCAATCGGGCTTATTTGAGCTCCTGAAACACGTAGATCTCAAATTCTATGGCCGAAGCCAGGCAACACGCAGACGCAAACTGACTACGCCAAATCCAAAAGCCGAATGGCCCCCCCTAACAAAAAGCCTTCACCCCCGCGAGCCCGAAAACCCCAAATCCTAAACCCTAAACCCTAAGCCCTAAACCCTAAACCCTAAACCCTAAATCCTGCTAATGGAGCTCCAAGTCATAAATGGCCTTTGTAAGGGCCCCACATTTTTTCGGCATTTCTGGGCCACCCCATGACTTGGCCCGAGGAAGGCCCCGAGAGGCCCAAGGCCCGTGCCTGAGACCAACAGCCTTGTAGGGTTTAGGGTGTTGGGGGTTGGGGTTTAGGGTTTAGGGTTTAGGGTTTGGGGTTTAGGGTTTGGGGTTTGGGGTTTGGGGTTTGGGGTTTGGGGTTTAGGGTTTGCAGTGTTTCGGGTTTGTAGGGTTTAGGGTTTAGGGCCCAGGGTCCAGGGCTTGTTGGGGTGTCGGGGGGCCCCCGATTTGAGGGGTGCCCGGACATTTTGCGGTTGCACCTGGCAGGGGAGGTGGCTTAGGGTTTCGAAGTTGAGGGTGCCGGTTCAAACTCGACCTGCTTAGCCCGTAGAGGCTCCCAGTGTCGGATGTGCATGCAAGACATGTAGCCAGTTAAAGCCCTTGTCCACCATAGTCTCCTGCCACAGATAAAAGGTGAACGAAATGTGGAGGTTTCCGAAATCGGGGTACCTTCTTCCCTACTATTTGGGGGTCTATATTAGTGGTCCCCTTATTTTCGTAAACCCCAATATCTGCTTTAGGCTAAATTCAGCATCGAGGCTCCGCGAGCTCGAGCTTTTCGGAGGGGCTGCCGGGATCTTAGCTTCAGATCTAGAAGGTTGGTGGCTTCTGCGGCGATCTACTATTTGCTGAAGAACCCCAAAATAGCCCCTACATTGCCCTTATGTAAACGGAAGAATGTGTCATTGTGTTTTGTTTTTTTTTCTTTTGCGGGGAGGGGTTCTTAAGCAAATAGTGGCTGTAGGGCTTTTTTGTACCCTGGGCGCTAGACCCTGAAGCGCGAGAACCCGACACGGTGAAAGAGATGGTTTTTCTGGAGCATGGTGAATATGCGCTGGTCCCCTAAAGCTTATAGAGCCTAGAGCGCCACACCGAAGGGGGTTTTGGGATTAAGGGCTAAACCCCAACAAGACACCCGTCCAAAAGCTCTAGAATCAAGCCTGCTTTTTTGGGCTTGCTAGGTCTTTCAGTGGGCCCTTTTTCCCTTTTTGGGGCTTTGGGCTCCTCATAAAGCTACCTTGTACCAAAAAGGGAGACCTTATTATTCCTAGGTTATTGGGGATCCTAGCACTTTCAACCCGGAGCCCTAAACCCTAAACCCTAAACCCTAAACCCTAAACCCTAAACCCTAAACCCTAAACCCTAAACCCTAAACCCTAAACCCTAAACCCTAAACCCTAAACCCTAAACCCTAAACCACACATCCCAACCGTCCTCAACGGCCCAAAAACCTGAAGCACTGTTTGCTGCACGATGGAGGTCCTGGGGCATCGAGGACCGAACGGGGGCCGCCTAGGGTTTAGGGTTTAGGGTTTAGGGTTTAGGGTTTAGGGTTTAGGGTTTAGGGTTTAGGGTTTAGGGTTGAGGGTTTAGGGTTTAGGGTTGAGGGTTGAGGGTTGAGGGTTTAGGGTTTAGGGTTTAGGGTTTTGCGTTGAGGGTTTAGGGTTTAGGGAAGCCTCTTTGTTGTGGTTCTTGTGTTGTTTGGGGGCCTGGGAAAACAGGGTTTTGGGGACTCGCCACGAGGCGGGCTCTGCAGCTTACTGTGTCCGCTGGGGCTGTAACCCTACCGGGAAACACCGGAAACCCGTACCCGTACCTTAAGCTTGAGACCTTGGTTGCATGACTTCATACCCCGGAGAACGGTTGCTATTCAAGCTGCAACGTGCGGGGCTTAGGGTTTAGGGTTTAGGGTTTCGGGTTTCGGGTTTAGGGTCTAGGGTTTAGGGTTTAGGGTTCCATGACTTGCAACTCGAAAAAGCCCGCCAAGTGGCGAACAGACCTCTCACGCGTCCTGTAGTCACTGTAGTCACTTTAGTCCTAAACCCTAAACCCTAAACCCTAAACCCTAAACCCTAAACCCTAAACCCCAAGCTGATCCTCCACAGAGAGGCCTGTGCAGACTGCGCGGGGGGGGTTACCATCGTATAATTGCAAAGGGACCCTAAGGGAATATGAGGAGTACGTATTCCGACCCCTCTATGATCCTACTTGGCACCCCACAGTCCAGGAAGCGCTCGCAGACAACGCCCTTACCCCAGAATAGGGCTCCGCCACAGCTTCAAGCTCATGGTTAGGACTTCGCTGTGTTTAGGCTGCCTCTGACTTTGTTCAACCATGTGCTGAAGTCTTTCCTAAACTACAGAGTGCACTGTAGCGCACGAATATCTCGCGAGGGTCTAGGGGCTTCAGGGATAAGAGTGCACTTCTGCTCATTGAAGCTTGAAAGAGCAGAGGCGGGCCCCTCGGTGACCAAAGAAGAGCCACAGGAGCCCATGCGAAGTCCTGCCACATGAGAGAGAGCAGAGGCTTGCTAGACCATCTTGCGAGGATACCGAAAACACGAGCACCGTGGAGGGGACCATTGATAGAATTGAAGATGTGAAGAGAGCTCAGTTTAATATTAGATGCAAAGACATGTAATGCATGCGCGATTTGATATTAAAGAGAGTGGACGAAACAGAAGACAGGAATGGTGCTTTCACGGGCGAACCTGGCAATGGTGGTTCTTTTTAGTTCGGTTATTCACTCACTGGTCCTACAGTATTATTATGGTTGACCCTGTGAATAGGATGACAGCGGTCTAGCTCCTGGAAGAGCCGCATGAATGAATATTAGAAGGCTTTTTCCAAGAACAAGATTGGTGAACCGCCTACAAGATATGGAAAAGACTGTACAACTTCAATATTTAAAAGGTAAGGAGTGAATAGGGTATCTACCAGAAGTTAGGCATGTCTGGCGTATTTCTCCTCAGAGCGCGTTGTCCGCCCCAGCTGAAGCTCACAGAAGGACACAAGGCCACAAATCCCTGATTACTCTAAATCTGGAAACCTCTACCAAGAACCGTCATCCTCGCAGAACCTTCAGAGTCGGAAGAGTCCCTGGGCTCCATGTGTCGTGTCGATTGGTCTTTTTGACTGAGGCAGGGGCTCCGCACGTGTCCCCAGTGGAGAAGTCGAGAAGTTTAGGGTTTACACGGCTTATCAGGTTTTGCAGAGCGTAGAGAGTTGCAGTGACGGCTTAGGGTTTATAGGGTTTGGGGTTTAGGGTTTCGGGTTTAGGGTACCCTCTGCCTTCAGGTATTCTCGAAGGGTGGGTCAAGTTTTGCTCAGGTTCAATTCCGAGTTTCCCACAGACTTTCATGGTGTTGTGGGGGGAGGGAATGCCTTAAGGCCAGTAAATCACCAAAGCCGTGCGCCTTTGTACAACCTGTGAGTCGCACAAAAGCCGCATCCGAGTCTTGCGACTTTAGGGTTTTGGCTTTTGGGTTTAGAGTTTAGGGTTTAGGGGTTCAGGCCTTCGCCCCAAGGCCCTGGCATCGCGGAGATGTGTGCTCCCGGGGCGGAGAGGGACCATCCTTAGCCAAAACCCTAAACCCTTAACACTAAACCCTAAACACTAAACCCTAAACCCTAAACCCTAAACCCTAAACCCTAAATCCTAAACCCTAAACCGTGGCGTTCGGTGCTACCAGCATGCCAGCGGTAACTTGGCGAGGCGAGAGCTGGACCTATGAGCGGTTATCAGAGTACTTGACCACCAAAATTCAGCAAGCTGGATCAGGCTACGGGCTCCTATAAAAGATGCCTCGCCACCAATCCGTACGTTGATTCAATCATGGACGAACACACGAATACCTTCCTCCGCGAATTCGGGGCTCGACAAGGTGTCGACACAGCGCAGTTTTCTTCCCGCCTTTATCAAGCTGCATCTCTAGAAAGGTATGCAACTCGCCAACATGTGCCTCACGAGGCAATACCGGAGCATGAACTCCGAAGGCTTACGGAGGCTTTTCGCAGGACCTATGCTGCACGGTTTTCGGGTTATCTTCTCTGGCCTGTGAAGCGTGTCATCTCGAACCTGAACAAGCGAGTGTCTCCTGGTCCATTCTTAGAAGGCACGCTCGTAAAAGGGTTGCGCCGCCCATTGCGGCGCATTCGAGACCTCAAGCGAATCGGTCTATTTGACGTGCTAGAAGAGTTGGCCACCGATGATCTTGCTGAGGAAGAGCCTGAGCCAACGTGGGCAGGCACGTTTACGAAGAAGTACAAGGATTCACAAGACAAAATGCTTGCCAACCCACAAAAAGCACGAACTGTGGTGTATCAGGCGCTGCATCAACGCGTGAGTGATGGCGTGCTATTTCTCGGCCCAGACAAGGCGTCAAAGGCTTGCTGGCCTGATTCATTCACTATGTCAGGCACGCCATTCATCACACAGGCACTTGAGGCCAAGCTTCAGTTCCGCGGCCCAAAGCGTGTGAAGTTTTCCTTTGATCAGACTGCCATGGACTCTAGACTCACTGAAATGAATGCTAAGGCCCATGCGTACCTTCTGGCACCCGGCTATGAGAACGTCTCGCCAGAGGACGTGCCAAGGCTCGAGAAAGTCATTGAGACGAAACTCAAGCGCATGGGCGCAGGGTTCAACTAACGTGCACACGCTTGAAAGATACCCAAAAGTCACAGGCGGCATGACAGGCTCGATGACTGTCACGGGCTTCAATGAGCCACAAAACGCATTGATGGTTGTCGACGCAATCTCGTCACTCACTGGTCTTTCGCCAGATGAAGTATTACAGGAGCTGACGATTTTATGCGGTGGCGATGATGGCAATATTGGTGCGAACCTTGATCTTGACCCCAAGGACATTCTTGCTCGGATGGATGCGCGGTGGGGCGCAACTTCCAAGCTCTTGTGGCAGCGTGTCACGACCGAGCCTGACGCCTCATGGGATGGCGCCCAGCTGCTTGGGCATACCGTGAGGGATGCCTCATAATTCGAACAAGAATTAAATCGCCCTGGGGTCTCTCTCAACTCACCTTATGGACCAAAGCGTGCTGTGCTTTGCAACCTCGATCGTGGCGACGTGCGGCAAACGGTACATTTCGGAAGGAATATACGCGAAAATCACCTTTCGATGGCATAGCGTACGTTGCAAAGTTCCAGTACTATCCTGAAAGACAAGAAGTCTGCATGGACACAGCCGCCCAGTTAGCACGGAAGATAATGCGCCAAAAAGGTGGAAAGCTGTTTCTCGAGCGCAACAGAATGCCGTTCCGAGAGAAAGTGCTCCGCGACTTTTATTTGAAGGTCCCACGTGACCCGCCTGGGCCAGAAACTAAACCATTGCTTTTCCACCTGGCGATACCGAGGTCCGTTCCCCCTCTTCACCCTCAGTAGACCCCCAGACCACACTGCATTTTTACACAGATGGTTCAGGCTCTCAAAAAAGTGTACAGCAAGCACACCAGCCGGATGGGGTTGGTGCCTTAAGGGAAGGCCCAAATTGGCTTGATGCATACGGGCCGGTGATTACCCAGTCCGACCACAACGCCTTCAGGGGAGCACAGGTGAGATCCAACAACACTGGAGAAGTGACGGCCATCATAGAGGCCCTTCTCTACGCCCACCAGCAGGGATTTGAGAGTTTTATTATTCATTCCGACAGCAAGTGGGCCATCAACGTCATTACAGGTAGGTGGAGAGCCAAAGCGCACAAACCTCTCATCAACCTTGCTTCACGCTTGATCCGTCTTTTCACAAAGGCTTCATTGCAATGGGTTAAGGCACATGCGGGAAAAGAGTGAAATGACAAGAGCAGATAGGCTGGCAAAGTTAGGCAGGACACAACACGCCCGGGTAGGTACGAACTGCAGCCCCAAAAGACACGACTCCCTTTCTGACCACACCGCCAAATAGTGACGGCCACATTGCCGACTGTCTTAAAGTAGCTTACGAGAAAACTTTTCCAAAACCTGAAGTCAGACCCCGCAGGCCCTGGATCTCTGCTCCGACCCTTGAGAAGCTCGCCAGAGCCGCTTTGAATAGCTGCAACCCTCTCTGAGGGGCACCACGGCGCTTCAGAACTCCATCTCCCCATTGACAGCCCAACCCTTACCTTGGGGACCAAATGCACCCTAAAAGCGTTTATGGCTCACATGCCCCAATAGGAATTATAGTAGCATAGGGTATATGACCCCAATTTTTGGGTTAACTTTGTCCCAAGGTACCCCACTCCACGGCACGAAAGCTTTTCCCAAGCCTCCGCAAAGTCAATTCGACCCAGAGCTTTCGACTACGCCGAGGCCCACCATCGAGGATGCGCGATCCTTGAAGGAGGTGGGCGTGCGTAAAAGGTTTTGGGTTTGGGCTCTGATGAAGGAGAGATGCGATTCGTGGATGATCCTGGTTGGCCACTCAGGAAGTTTGCGGTTTTGGGTTTATGCCTCCTCTGGCTGAAGCTAGAAAGAGTTTGGGGCTTTGTGCCACTTGCAATCAGAAGAAAAGAGAAAGAGTTGAAAGCAAAAGAAAAACATGAAATTAACCAGAGTAATTAAGGAGAAGAAAAAGCATCATAGCAATAAACAGAGATGTTATGGGGGGGGCACCCTGCGCCTCGCGCATGAAATTTTGTCTTCATGCCAGTGCAGGAAACGGGCACAAAGAAGCTGGGGACTCTTCATTGCACGGTCGACTTGCTTTTTTTAAGCCTACAAGTCCGCCCCGTTGCTCTACAACCAGTCTGAGGTGCTCCTGCACTAGGGCGCTAGGTGTTCTTTAGGGCTTTCAGGATTTGGGCAGTTTTAAGTTCTCAGGTTTAGGCCCTCTGTAGGCACGCCGATGCAGAGCAGCACGATGGCGAAACAGCGCATGTAAGCCGTTTCAGACACTCATCTTACCTCCGCTGGTCTGTTCGAACACGTAGCGAAGCTCTCAAGTCTGCAAGCATGGGCAGAAACATGTCGCTCCATGCTTGGGGAATGTGCTGACCTTGTGTCTTGTGCTGTCTTGGAGATTAGGCGTTTGGAGAGCGAGCAGGTTGCCCACGAAGTGTTTCCCTTCAGTCTCCTTCGTGGGCATCGACGCACGTTTGTAGGGCACCAGGGCAGCCGGGGCACACGTTTAGTCCTAAATCCTAGCCAAGAACGGCCTGTAATCCTGAATCCCAAGGCGCGTTCAATCTCGCACCTGTTACCGTTCCTTTATGAAAAAGGACCCCTAAAACGGGACCCGAATTGAGAGAACTTCCCAAATATTCATCAGACTGCCGCCGGAAGGCCCTCCATGCTGAGAACTCCCTTCTCGAGCGCGAGGCCTGCCTTCTTCTAGGCCGTTTAGGTTTTAGGGTGTTGGCTTAGGCTGTTGCATGCAATCGCTGCTTTGGACTTAAAAAATGTGTGTTAGCATCCCTTCGAATGTCAAATTTCTGGGGGGTATGGTAGTTACTTGATTCCAAACGCGCACAAGCTTCTGAGAAGAATCCGTGCCGGGGCTGCTCGCAGGTTGAACGCCAGCGTGCGGAAATCGAGGTGTCATGGCAGAATGTTTAGGGTTTAGGGTTTAGGGAAGAGGGGTTAGGGTTTAGGGCAGAATTTGGGGGCTTCAGGGTTCTGGGTCGTGGGGCTGGGTGTCTTTTTGGGGCCTTTCGAGAGTTTCTGCACTTGAAGAGTTTGGTCTAGGGGCTTCAGGGCTTTGGCATTCTGAAGACATCCCTGTTGGCTTTGGGCCTGGGATTGATAAGGTCTGTTTTTTTTTTTTTTTTTGGGGGGGGGGGCTTATTATAGCCTTCTGTTGTCCGCAGGCATCCAAGCACCAGAGCTGCCAGTAGCCTTCCCCTAAGCCCTAAAGTGCCCTAAAGTAGGTCGCCACATGTCCTGAACCCTAAACCCTAAACCCTAAACCCTAAACCCTAAACCCTAAACCCTGAACCCTGAACCCTGAACCCTAAACCCTAAACCCTAAACCCTAAACCCTAAACCCTAAACCCTGACCCGGGGGGGAACCTTGGAGCCTTCGGTTGTTTGGTGGCCCTCTTGGCGTTCCCTTGGAGCTGAGAGCCGTAGGAGTTGAAGTCTCGACCACGGGCGCCGCAGACTCCACTGCTGCAGACTCCGGTGAAGCTTGGACAGCATTCTGGGGTTCTTAAGGGGGGTAGGGTTTAGGGTTTAGGGTTTAGGGTTTCGGGTTTAGGGTTTAGGGTTTAGGGTTCAGGGTTCAGGGTTTAGGGTTGGGGGGGGGGGGGGGGGGGTGGGGGGGCCGGCTCATTGGGGGTAGGTACCTAGGGAACCTTAGGGAAGCTTAGGGAGGCTTGGGGAGTAGCGGGGAGTATCAGGCACGCTTGGATTACATACCCCCACTTGAACCCCTCCTCCCTTAAGAACCCTATAGCCTATAAACGCACCACTGGATACCTGTGGCTTTGGAGCTGACGGCGGGTTTTTGCTTATAAGTGAACACTTGGGGATGTTCCCCCCTTCTACTAAGGGTTTAGGGTTTAGGGTTTAGGGTTGTCCTTAATAGGGACGATAGTACCCCCTATTCTCATCCCTATCAAGGACTGTTAGTAGAAGGGGGAACATCCCAAGTGAACACTCCCAAATCCTCTAGAACCTCCTGCCCAGCCGGAGATGCCTCACCTGCAAAACGATGCGTGCTGCGAATCCCTGTAGGCTCAGAGGCATTTTGGGGTCCCTAAACCCGAAACCCTAAACCTTAAACCCGAAACCCGAAACCCTAAACCTAAAACCCTAAACCCTAAACCCTAAACCCTAAACCCTAAACCCTAAACCCTTTCGGGCGGTCACACCCGCAGTCGGAGGATGGAGCCGCGCACCATGGAGGAGCCCCGTACGCTGTCGGAGCCACGCACCGTGCACCGAGTAGGCCCCCACGAGGGTTTAGGGTTTAGGGTTTAGGGTTTAGGGTTTAGGGTTTAGGGTTTAGGGTTTAGGGTTTAGGGTTTAGGGTTTAGGCTCGTCGTAGAGTTGTGGAGTTTTGAGCAACCCCAGAACTCTCAACCCTTAACCCTATGTGTATGCCCACCTAGAACAAGGAAAAAGATACCACCCAAACAGACCTCCACCGCCCGGAACTGGCAGGATACGCCAGCCCCAAAGCAGGGAACGCGCCTGCCCTAAGGGTAAGGGCCGCAGGCCTTGATCAACAGGACATGATCAACACCCTAAGCCCACTAGAAGTTTGGTGGTTTCCGAAATTAGGGGTACCTTCTTGGGGTACTGATTATAAGATATTATAAGGGGATTCCTACTTTTTGGGGGTCTAATTTAATATTAGGTGTCCCCTATTTTCGTAAACTAAACCCTGAACCCTGAACCCTGAACCCTAAACCCGAAACCCTAAACTCCACCCTAAACCCATTGAACAGAAGTTGAATCCTTCTGTTGCAGTTCCACCAGCCGCTCTGCTCGCAGCGCCCCGGCTTTCTACACCCGGGGCCGCTTGTTTGCCGGAAGGACAGGGGAGGAGCCCTAAACCCTAAACCCTAAGGCCTAAACCCCAAACCCTAAAAACCCCAAACCCTAAACCCTAACACTCAAACCCAAAAACCCTAAAAGAAGAGCTTGGGGTTTCGGACTTTGGGGCTCCAAGGGCTTCACGTGTTCCGGGAGACTTTCCGGATTTTTCGTTCTGGGGCTGCTCGGGGGACTGGGGCCATTGGGTGCTTAGGGGTGTCGGGTGCCTTAGGGTCTAAGGGTAGTTGCATGGTCCCTTCATATGGCCCCTTACCCTCCTTAATCATGGTCCCTAATATATGGTCCCTTACCCTCCTTAAAGGGTTCTGACGTATGGGCCCTTGGGTTGTGGAGGGTATATAGAGGGTGTTTAAAGGGCTCCTTAAAGGGTTCTGACGTATGGGCCCTGGGCCTGCAGAGGGTATATAAAGGGTGTTTAAGGGGTGCCCATTTAAGGGCCCATGCGAAAGGACCATGTAACTACCCTAAGATTGAAGTTTGAACCTGGTTAGAGAACTGGAGTCAAAGTTAGGACATGTGGACGTTGCAAGTCCCTGCGATTCGGGTTGTCGGGTGTGCCTGCGACGACTGCAGAGCCTTAGAGTACGCAGCAGGCTCCAACAAGTCAATTCAATCCGGCTGGGGTGAGACTCCACCTAGACTCTATATACTACATATATATATATACTATACACTACTATATGTATATGTATACTATTATGGCTCTAGTCCTGAACACCAACAATGAACAGGAAGTCTGTAAATAGAGTGCGGCTGAGGCTGGGCCAGCCTCAGCCACGCTCTCTGCCCCAACGCCGCCCAGGAGTCGCTTTGGGTTCCAAGCATAGGGGGTCCAGGTTAGAAAAGGTGGGTTGCACTTGATTGGGCCTTCCGCTTTTCCAACTAGTCAGTTTCGTGTGCAGCCCATTCTTCTTTGCTGAGCTTAGACCTTCTCCGACAGAGATTGATGGAGGGAAGGCTGGTCTTCTTATTCACCGGCGATTAGCATGTTCTGGCAAGAGAGTCGAACCCAGTAGGATTCGGGGTGTTGATGCAGTGCTGCAAGCCATGCCATGATGTCTCGTGAAGCGAGTTCTGGAACAAGGGGGAATGCCAAAGCCCTATCGTGAATCCGAAGCCTCAGCAAGTCACGTGGAGGCCCTCAAAGCGTTGCCCTCAACCCTATAGACCCTATGAACCCTATAAACCCTATAAACCCTGAAATCCTAAAACCCTAAAAAACCCTACACACCCTAAACCCCCTAAACACCCTAAACCCCCTAAACCCCCTGAACCCCCTAAACACCCCAAACCCCCTAAACCCCCTAAACCCCCTAAACCCCTGAAACCCCCTAAACCCCCTAAACCCCCTAAACCCCCTAAACCCCCTAAACCCCCTAAACCCCCTAAACCCCCTAAACCCCCTAAACCCCCTAAACCCCCTACCCTAAACCCCAAACCCGCAACCCTAACCTGCCTGAGCCCTGGGCCCTCCAGGAGTGGCCCTGTGGCAACTGGCTGTTGGAGCCTGAACTTGGGCTTTAGGCTTTAGGCTTCAGGCTTCAGGGTTCAGGCTTCAGGCTTCAGGGTTTAGGGCTCAGGGCTTAGGGGTTTCAAGTTTTGCGGTAAAGGTTCAGGGCTTAGGGTGAAGGGGGTTTAGGGGTTTAGGGCGTTTTGGGGATTTTGGGGGGTTTGGGAGTTTCGGGTTTAGGGTTAAGGTCGAGGGCTTAGGGTTCAGAGTCGAGAGGGCTTGGCGCTGGGGCAGGGAGACTTCGGGATCTCGGGTTCGGTCCTCCGCACTCCCTATCTGGTCCTGTTCCTCTGCTCTCTTAGTCCCTTGGAAACCCTAAAATGGGTTTAGGGGGTGTAGGTTTCAGGGTTTTGGGCTGGATGCTCTTTTGTTTTTTCTTTCTTTCTTTCTGTCCGTCGTTCTTTTCCAGGGCACGATATCATCTACTTTTACAGGATTTGGAGAGTCCGCCCATTTCTATCTATCAATGGTCCGCCCGTTACACGTTCATCTCTCTATCTCTGCATTTCCCCCCCCCCCCCGCCCCGGTGTGCCTTGGTCCCCATCAGCAACCTCCGGTTGAGGGTTTAGGGTTTGGGGTTTAGGGGCTGGTCGGGGTTACTCGGCGCACCTCGGCAACACTGAAACTCCAAGGCATTTCTCCCCGCTTTACACCCATCTCGACGACGGTGTCTCGAACACCGGCCACACCCCAGGCAGCGGCCCGAAGCATATGAGAGTCACAAAGGTAAGGGCCCGGAAGCTAAAAACCGCTTTGGCTACAGATGCCGGTGTGATACCATAAACCTAGCACTTGCTGAGTGGCAGCAAGTTCGGGCCCCGGTCTGGTTTTGATATCAGAGGCTTGGCAGATTTCGGATTAAGGCAGGTGCTCATTGCATCTCATCGAAGAGCGCCACAGCTCGTGAGCCCTCAACGCACTCGAGCAGAAAGGCCCTCAATACAAAGACAGCACTAGGCAGCCCTGAAAGCAAACTTTAAGCAAGAACCCCCCGACCCAAGAGACACGATTATCTTTCCCAGGAACCCTCAAACCCCTACAAACCCTCAACCCTGTGGTTCAAACCCAGGACAGCCTTGCACTATGTCGGCGCTTCAAGCCAGGAATTGGAGATTTAGGGTTTAGGGTTTAGGGCTTAGCGTTTAGGGTTTAGCGTTTAGGGTTTAGGGGATCTTCCCAAGATGCTGTAAGGCATGCGTCGTGACAGCGCCGGGACCGCGCCCATGGCGCATCGAGTAATGTACAGTGACCGCGAAGGAGGTGACCACAAGCTTGGCCCTGTGGGTGGAGTTTTGGGCCTAAACCCTAAACTCTAAACCCTAAACCCTAAACCCTGAACCCTGGGTTTTCTTGGTGAACCAATACCTATAAACCCTAAACCCTAAACCCTGGTTTGGGCCCTGCGAAGGTGTGGCATGTCTGTAGAAGTCCTTGATGGGGAGCAAGCTCTCAAGTTCGCTAGTCCCTAAACCCTAAACCCTAAACCCTAAACCCTAAACCCTGGGCAAGAGGCGCCTAGAAGATCACTATACGGGTCACTAGAAGGAAGGAACCAGCGACGATGGCTGGTGACAGTGGTGCAGTTACTGCTTCGTCGCCGCCTACGACTGCCTCTTCCCTGGTGCTGCGGGGTTAGGGTTTGGGGTTTACGGGTCAGGGTTTAAGTGCTCGGGCTTAGGGGTTAGGGGTTAGGGGTTTTGGCATCCTCGAAACCCTCCAAGCGCCTCGAAATCATCAAGCCCTCGAGAATCCCTAAAGCACGAACTGCAAATTCCCCAGAGCCGAACAAAAACTTAGCAGTCGCTCCAGCACCCCCGGCACCCACCCCGAAAACTATTCTGGTTTGGTGCATATACCTTTGGGGACCAAACGAGCCCTAAAAGGATTCATGGTTCATTTAACCTGTTAGGAACAATAATTGTACAGGGTATATGACCCAAATTGTTGCATTCATTTCGTCCCCCAAGATAGAGAGACCAAAAGGCCCCCTAAAACCCTGAACCCTAAACCCTAGACCCTCCTGGGTGTCAGGTTGCCGCCGAGGCGCTGCTCTCGCCGAGGCCTCTCACTTGTTTTGGAGTTTTTAGGGTTTGGGGTTTAGGGTTTAGGGTTTAGGGTTTAGGGTTTAGGGTTTAGGGTTTAGGGTTTGGGCTTGCTGTGGAGCTTCCAGGATGGGCTACTCGGCCTTAAAGGGCCTTCTGAAGGGGTTAGAAGGTTTCATAGCCCATCCGGGTTAGGTGGATTGAGCTTTAGGGTTTAGGGTTTGGGGTTTGGGGTTTGGGGTTTGGGGTTTGGGGTTTGGGGTTTAGGGCTTCAGAGTGACTCGGTGCACGAACTTGCTTCAGGGAGGTCCTTTGGTCCCTCCCCCGGTAAGCACCAAGGAAGGTGGCTCGTCCCAAAACCCTAAACCCTAAACCCTAAACCGTAAACCCTAAAGCCCCAGAATGCAACAGGTTCACCACTCACCGCGCAATCCCCGCCACGGCCACTCCAGTCGCTCCAGTCGCAGCAGGGTGGGCTCCATGGTGGCAAGCTTCGGTAAGACCCTAAACCCTAAACCCTAAACCCTAAACCCTAAACCCTAAACCCTAAACCCTAAACCCTAAGCGAACAGAGGCGGTGCTTCCGATGTGTTATTTCATTACGTGTCTCAGTGCCTCAAAGCCTTCAGCCTTCCCAAACCAGGTTTGTGTCTGCAGAGCTGTATAAGTTTGCCATGCTTCGAGTACACGAGCCTCAGCCTGAGTCATGTGTCCCAAAGATCTTTCGTGGCGCTCCCTGTCCCTGGTAGCCCAGTGGTACCCGAAACCTTAAACCTTAAACCTTAAACCCTAACCCTAAACCCTAAACCCTAAACCCTAAACCCTAAACCCTAAACCCTAAACCCTAAACCCTAAACCCTAAACCCTAAACCAACCGAAAACAGGGCTGCCCTGATTCTTGGATGGTTACTGGGCTACTACGTATCCCAAGGTCTACGCCGTGCCCTGCTCACCTGGACCGGCCCAGGCACGCCATCTCCAGGGTTTAGGGTTTCGGGTTTAGGGTTTGGGGTTTAGGGTAAAGGGTTTGGGTTTTGGGGTTTAGGGTTTCGGGTTTAGGGTTTGGGGTTTAGGGTAAAGGGTTTAGGGTTTAGGGTTTGGGGTTTAGGGTTTAGGGTTTAGGGTTTAGGGCCAGTTTAGGGCTTAGGGTTTTGGGGTTTGGGGTTTAGGGTTTAGGGGTTTAGGGTTTAGGGTTTAGGGTAAAGGGTTTGGGTTTTGGGGTTTAGGGTTTTGGGTTTGGGGTTTGGGGTTTCGGGTTTAGGGTTTCGGGCTTAGGGTTTAGGGTTTAGAGTTTGGGGTTTAGGGTTTAGGGTTTTGGGGTTTGGGGTTTAGGGTTTAGGGGTTTAGGGTAAAGGGTAAAGGGTTTGGGTTTTGGGGTTTAGGGTTTTGGGTTTGGGGTTTAGGGTTTAGGGTTTAAAGGGTTTAGGGTTTAGGGTTTAGGGCGAGGTCTTTTCTGTTTTAAGCTTCAAGGGGTTTCACGGGCCGAGGTTTGCTTGGTGCTTCCACGCCAGTTCCCCACATTGACATAGAAACATGACAAGGCAAATCTGGGCTCGATGTTTTCAAGGCTACAGTCTTGGGAGTTTTGAGTCCAGTGGGGCTGCTCAGTTCACTGTTTCATTGTAGCTCAGACACAACATCCAGAACGAATCAGTACTCCAGGCCGCATCGGTATACACAACAATTTCAAAGCAAATTCCGAAGCTCCATCACCCGTCGCCCTCTTGCAAGTCCGCACCCCGAACGTCGCCAAACACCACGTGCCTTGGGACAACAACTGGGTTTCAGGCTTTCGGATCTTTGCCACGTGCCCTGAGCCCCATCTTAGATCTGAAGCGAGTCGAGGGTTGAAGGTCACCGGGAGGAGTGGAGGTGCCAGCCAGAAGTGCCCAACGCACAGGGGTGCAGAGTTCAGGAAGGCTGTTCTGGCTCGTTAGACCTCTGGTTCAGCAGTCCGGGGTAGGTACGTAGTAGTTTTATGTAGAGAAGGGAGGATCCACCGGGTCTTAAAAGCCCCAACTAAGCCTATCCACCCTGAGCTCCCACCCTAAACCAACCACAAACCCTCAACCCCAGTTCCCGCCTGAAATGCAGCACTGGGCTGTTCTTGGCCGGGCGTTTGTGGACAGCTCTAACGAAGTAGCTTATGGAAGTGGATCCCTTGATTTTGCTGAAAGTCTTCTCCTTCTGCCCGACCGAAGCCTTGACCCCGAAGACTTGGGGCCCTCGTGTAAACCCTAAACCCTCAACCCTAAACCCTAAACTTTAAACCCTAAACCCTAAACCCTGAACCCTGAACCCTAAACCCAAACCCTAGACCCTAAACCCTAAACCCTAAACCCTAAACCCTAAACCCTAAACCCTAAACCCTAAATCCCACCCTTCTGCTGCTGAGGCTACGGCTCTGACAAGAGAGAGCCAGGCAGCCGATGCGAAGCTTCAAAAAGCTGCAGCTTGAGAAAGCTTCTTGGTTGAGGGTTTAGGGTTTAGGGTTTGGGGTTTAGGGCTTTTGGTTTAGGGTTTAGGGTGTAGGGTTTAGGGTTAGTAATGGTGACTGGGCTGATTCAGAGCAATGCAGTGCCTATTCGGAGAACAAACTGCAGCACCTTCATCGAAGTGAACTGGCTTCTCTCCCGGAGAGTCGTTCTCAGGGTTAAGATGCACGCAGTTGCCCCTGGCAATGCTGCGCGGCTTCAGGGTGTCGGATACCTCAAAGACTGTCCCAACACAAAACCCGTTTGGACAACCTTAAAGCGTTAGGGGGTCTTTAGCGGAAGCCGTGTATTCGTGGCCGGCTTACTAAATTGTCCAAACTTATACAACTGCTCACAGTTCTATGGTTTGAACGCACCCCCATCTAGCGGCAATGGTTCCCAGCACATGGCAGCAACAAAGTCAAGAGGCCTTGGGTTTTTTTGCGGGATACTCGGTGGCCATGGCGAAGTCGACATCTTCGGTGCTAGTGCCAGTTTGCCACTGGGATGCAAGTCATAAGCTTAGAGGAACTGTGTGGCTTGAAGCCCAAAACCCCCTAAACCCTAAAGCCTAAACCCTAAACCCTCAGCCCTCAACCCCCTAAACCCTAAACCCTAAGCCCTAAAGACAGGGGTGACCGGCGACCCTATATACCAGGGGTGCCCAGGAACAGGACTCCACTCCACCACTCCTTGGGGCTTGGGGGACTCGAGATGAGGGGGGTTGAGGGGCTTGAACGAGTTGAATATGGATTTGTGGGCATTTTAGGGTTAAGGCGGACCCCAAAAAAGGACCTCCTAGCCACCATTGACATTGACCCTAAACCCTAAACTATCACGAAGCCTTGGTCTCAGTTGCATTTTGGCTGGTTGAGTTCCTATAAGCCCTGAACCCCAAACCCTGGAGCACTGGGTACTTGTAATAGGTTCAGGGTTTAGAGCTGGATTCGAAAACGTACATTCCAACCCTCAAAGCACCTAATCCTGCCATTTTCTATCATATGAGCTTATCTTTCGAGAAGCTGTTAGGCAGCCAACCACAGCCTCGGCCTGAAACAGTAAAGCCATAAGCACTCAGATCTTCCAAAACCCCTTAATTAAGGAATATACCCTAATTTGTACTAAGGATCCTCATTATGAATTAGGGTATATACCTTAATTAAGGGGTTTTGGAAGATCTGGGCAGCTAGAAAGAAGAGCTGTCAGATCTCAGCAAAGTTTCCAGCAGGCCCTGCACGTGAGCCTTCTCAGGCCTTCGAGCATGAGTGGATGCAAAGCGGGTTCCGAACCTCCACCCTAAACCCTAAACCCTAAAACCCTAAAACCCCAAAACCCTAAAACCCTAAAACCCCAAAACCCCAAAACCCCAAAACCCCAAAACCCTAAAACCCTAAAACCCTAAAACCCTAAAACCCCAAAACCCCAAAACCCCAAAACCCTAAAACCCCCTTTTTTCCCTAAACCCAAAACCTGAAGCCCTAGGCGCCGCGGGCAGTGCCCTAGCGCTGATCGGCACAGCTGGTGTGCTTCCGGTCGGGGACTTAGGCATGCACTTGCTCAGACTTCAGGGCTTCGAGATGTTTAGGGTTTAGGGTTTTAGGGTTTCGGGTTTAGGGTTTAGGGTTTAGGGCTTAGGGCTTAGGGTTCAGGAGTGTGTCTAGAAGGGTGCTACTTGTTGATGTGCAGCAGTGAAGTTCTATGAAAATCTGCTTTGGGCCATGCGTGTTTCAAGCTCTTTGGCCCGAAGTGGTTGAGGGGGATTGGGGTTTCGGGTTTAGGGTCTAGGGTTTAGGGTTCAGGGTTTCGGGTTTAGGGTTTAGGGGTTCGGGCTTCTTACGGGGCCTTGCCTTAGCGCCAGGAATGCAGAGGCAGGGTTTAGGGTTAGGAGCCAATCTTCAATCTCTTTCCCAACCGGAGGAACCTTCAGAACCTTCCACTCCGGATGCGATTTGCACAGGTGTGTACAAGCAGAATCAAATTGGGCGCTTTTCGGTTGGAACAGCGCCACAACGTATCAGCTGCGAGCAACAAACACAAAGGCGCAAGCATCAAACAGTTTAGGGGAGCTGGTGGCCTTCCCAAATCTTCTCAGCCCCTTCACAACTTCCGAGCCTTCAAACACCCGGTAACCTGTAAAATCCTCAAATCCAAATTATAACCCTTACAAATACAGGCGATCGGCCTTGCTGCCGGCGTCGGTGGAGGCTGCCGGGTAGTGCGTGCTGGCTTCTTGCGGTTGAGACTGTACCGGCTTCTGTACCAATTGCTTAAGAACCCCCCTCTCCCGAAAATAAAATAATATTCTTCCTTATAAGGTAATTTGGGATTATTAATTTGTATTTTTTGAAATAGTAGCAGATTCTGTAGTTTGGTCGGCAAGCCCAGGGTTCACTGGCAACATTTTTCTCAGCCCAGCAAGAGAATGATTTACTTCGATCGTCCCCACCCTACAGCTACTGATGTTTGAACCATCCTGGCGCTTTCAGACAGCCAATTCGCTACGGATACTTCGCCGCAGGCTTCTGTCGCGGGACAATCCGGAATTCTCTGACTCCACGGAGACTTGGTGGGACTCTTGCAGGCTTCTCTGGGCACGGGTTCCTCACACATACTCATTGCTAGGCAGGCCTCCCTGCGGGCTTCTCTGGGCGCAGGTGGGCGACTCTCTGCGGGCTCTCTGAGGTGGGCACGCCGGGAGTAGACGGCGGGACTCCCTGCGAACTTCTCTGGGAGACGCGAGCACTCCAGGGAGGTCCAGGAGACCGGGCGGGACACCAGGCGAGGATGCGAGGCGCAGAATGGCTGACTGAGAACTCGAACCACCCCCCTTGATCCAATGGATCCACGGATTGGGGTTGTCGTGCACACCTCAGCTAGCATCAAATAAAAATAGGTAATCTCTGTGCCGACAGGCGAAAGATGCCCTGCAAAAAAGAAGGGTTTAGGGTTTAGGGTTTAGGGTTTAGGGTGTAGGGTTTAGGGTTTAGGGTTTAGGGTTTAGGGTCTAGGGTTTAGGGTTTAGGGTAGGCCTTCCCCCCAAGGACGGTGACTAGCGGTACTAGTTCTGCATCTGGGAGCATCGTGCAGTCCCGGCACCACGACAACCATTCACCCAATGCCCCCTACGCTTTAAAAGGTTTAGTATGTCAGTCACAGTTCAGGTCCGAGACTCGAATTCAACATGTTCTGTGCAAAAGTGGCTCTTCACGACGACACCTTCAAGGGCCTTAAGTAAGCTATACACCCTAAACCCTGAACCCTAAACCCTAAACCCTAAACCCTAAACCCTAAACCCTAAACCCTAAACCCTATACCCTAAACCCTAAACCCTAAGCCCTAAACCCTATACCCTAAACCCTAAACCCTAAACTGATCATATGCTCGAGGTTGGCTACTGGGGCAGCGCTTGAAAGGCGGTGCGGACCCTCAAAGCATGCTGGAGTTCAGGCTTCGGGTTAAGGTTTTGGGTTTAGGGTTTGGGGTTTAGGGTCTAGGGTTTAGGGTGTAGGGTTTAGGGTTTGGGGTTTAGGGTTTGGGGTTTAGGGTTTAGGGTTTAGGGTTTAGGATGGGTGGTGGACTCCACAGCAATGAAGGACTTGCTTACAGCCAAGCGGGGCCCACCAGGCAGGCACGCAGCGTTTTTGGCAATAATCCTCGTGCAAAAACAGAGCCTTAACCCTACTATTCCTTTTGATGTTCTTACAAGGACCCTCGCTCGTTTACAAATTTCACAAGGGGTCTTGTTGCATTTGTTGTTGTTATCGTATTGCTCGTATATCTTTTTGTTTCTTCGCCTGCGTGCGTCAGTCGGTCGCGCCAAGCGGTGAATTGGTGCTAAGACTGGCACCACTCCCCTGCTTCCCCGCAACCCCTTGAATTAAGGACATCTACCTAAATCCTGTTTATCAAACCTCTCAACCTCATCGTGCCGACCGCTGCTACCTGTACAAGTGCTCTCGCATCTACCGGCACTCTTCCCGGCGGTCCAAGAGCCACCGGTGACGTCCGGTCAAAGAATGCTCAGTGACATGCTTTAGCCATTGACAACCTTGCAATCCGGCCCGAAGAGTTATTGTGTCCTTCTGCATGGCAGGCGGTACGTGCCCCCTTGAGTCACACCACTGTGCCAGTTGAGCGCATCTCCAACTGATTCCAGCTGATTCTCATGGACCACCTGGCACATCGCCTCCTCCAAGAGTCCGTGACCGCCTTCCATCTGCGGCCGCGATCTTTTGTCACTACGCCAGCCCACCTAACCCCAAGTTTCCACGTTGGTGACATCATCCGCTATAACCCTAAGCCCTAAACCCGCCAGTGTGTACCTGCGGGCCCAAATCTGCTGAACTTCCTCCTGTCGTGGAAAGACCTCGGCTTGGTCCCCAACTGCGGGATCATCTGACTATCGACCTGTTTTCGCTCGGGATTCGTGCGAAGCTGGACCTCCTCTCTCGTTTTCAAGGGAGTCTGAGTTGAAAAGCATACGCCGCCACCCTGCGTGCGATGAGGGCTGTCCCAGTCCCTGTGTCCCTACACCCAACTCCAAGAGCGGTACTCGGCTTCACATTCAGTCGGCATCGGTCCTACTCCTGGCTTCCGGTTGCGTCAGCTGCAGTTCTCACCGGCGTGCTTCCGTCAGATGCGTTTCTCACTAGCTCACTTGCGTCAACAGTTGTTCAAGCGGCTGTGTGCTCCAGAGAGCCCACGAGTTGACGAACCGATGCTTATGGAACAAAGTACTTTCAAACACCTACCTCACCCCGCATTAGGGTAGTTAACGGGCCACTGGCTGAGAACCTACATGAGAATTGCGGCACCACTACAGGGAAAGTTTGGGTACGGAATGATCAGCAGGTCTGTCAGCAAGTAAAAGCAACCTCGAACTGGGCATGTCATCCTCGGTCCTTGCCCGTCTTCGGCACGTCATCCTTGCACATGGGGCCAGGCAGATTTAACACTGACACATGGGGAAGACGAATGAGCCCTTTGAAACCTAAAGCCCGAACAGAGCAGTTGCTGGTCTAGTTATTTATTTGTTCAGATGTCATCCCTGAAGTCAGTTCACCTGGTAACTTGGGGTTACCATCTAGGGCCGGGCTTCTTGGAGGAGTTTCTCTGCCGAGGTCGGGAAAATGCCGCCAAGGCCGCCAGGCCACCGGCAGCAGAACAAGGGAGCACCCCCTAGTATAGATGACCAAATAGCAGGATCCCCTTGTCGTAAGGACCCCAATAAGATCGTCAACCCCCAACTTCCCGCTATGGAAAGCCCAAGGGTGCGGCCATGTGCGGCCTTTTGTTTCCGTGGGACCGCATCCATTTTGAAGTGGGGACTCTGAAACGCCAAGCGCGCAGCAACTGAACCCCCACTCACTGAAAGCTTGAATGGTTGGTGGAGTAGCATGGGGGCGAGAACCTCAGAATGCTCTCCATCTTTGTGACAGGGCTTAAGGTACCCTGAACCCTAAACCCTAAACCCTAAACAATTTCGTGGCAAAGGGAAGCGGGCACGGTGGGCAGGCCCCAGCTGGTGCCCAACGCCCACCCCGACTCCAGCGACGAGGTGTCCGCTCGCGGGGACTTCTCTGGGCCCAAGTACTGTACCCTAAAATATGCTTTGCTACTCTACTTCCTATTAAGGTATATGGACCATAAACCCTTTTAGGGTTCATGTGGTCCCCAAGGTATCGAGCCTTAACCTGGCGGGCCTTGAATAGAACCTTTAGGGTCTGTGCTGAGATGCCTGACACAGCCCCATTGTCCCTCGATTTGTGTTCCCATGGTGCAATTTCCTGCGACCTTGGACTTCTTTTCGTACACAACTCGAGCGGAAAGTGCCAGTGCTTTTCCTAGGCCTCCGGCCCTTGAGCGCGCAAAAACACTCAACTTTTTCACCCTTGCTCCGTGCAGCAGGAGAGCGACGAGGAGCTGGACGAGGCGGGTTGCTGCTGCTTTTTGATTCTTCACGGACCTGGCGTCCTTTAAATGAGACATCGATTCGAGTTTGCTTGGGAATGGAGGCTGTGCCGGACACGTCCGCACCATGGTGTTAAAAAAGCGTTAAGCTACACCTGGCAAAATTTGTCAGTGCAAGGGGGTCGCAGCAGGCAGTGACCAGAGTCTGCCACCAATGGGAAACTTTGGTTGTGCGTGGCGGTCAGCCATGGTGAACCCTGAACCCTGAAGCCTAAGCCTAAACCTCCTGAAGCCAGGCTGTGCGAGAGTATGGGGAGCACATGGGTGCAGAGGTCGTCGGGCAGTTCTTAAGGCCGGCGGTGGAAAATTGGGGTTTAGGGTTTAGGATTTGGGGTTTATTCGAGTTTTTTAGGGTTTATTCGGGTTTATTAGGGTTTATCAGGGTTTATTAGGGTTGATTAGGGTTGATTAGGTTTTCTTAGGGATTAGGGATTAGGGTATGCGGGTTTATGTAGGTGTAGGAGAGAAAGGCTGGAGTTCGCTTTTAACTTCAATTTTTAAATGCCCAGGGTCTGGGGTTGAGGATGTGCTAACGTAAAGCTGTTAAAGGAGGGAACGCTGGATCTTGAATTTCTAACATTTTTTTACAACCATACCGGGTGCAATATGGAATTTTCGTTTTCGATACTTCCACGCTGGGCATGAGCCCAGAGCCGAGGTTTAAAGACATGCAGGTACATGAGTAGGTGGGACTGTGCTCCTGGCTTACTTCACCAGACGGCGCAAGACATGAAGGACATGGTGCAGATATTCGAAGCCAATCGATGCGTTTCGAAACAGGTGTTTGGAATCAAAGGAGCGGGGTAGCTGGCGGCAGCGGTCCAGTACCTTTGGTCTCTTACAACTATCACCCTTTGCAAGCATGACCCCGCCACCGTTGCCACCGTTATCGCCTAAGTCAGAGAGCTACAGCCAGCATTGGACGTGTTGGAGGCCTCAACATGGTCGCTTTTCCCCACCCGCAGGTTGGGTTGCTAAAATTACCGACGCAAAGAGAGTGTCATGCATTGATGAGGTGTAGGCTTTGCTCAGTGTAGATAAACGTATATAACATGCTTACAAACTTAAGAACCCCCAAACAACGTTCCAAGGGTGCGTAAACGCGCGCCGAAAACGCCGCTTTGTAGACGGCAAGGGCAAATAACGTGGCAGGGGCAGTATTTCTGAGTTTTGAGAGTCGGGGATGGTGAGAGTACAGCGGACAAAAAATTGAAGGAAAAATTGACTAGAATGCGCTGGGGCCTAGGTTTGGGCGACATGAGGGCGGTCGAGGTCCAGACATTTTAGAGCTTCAGCCAATTCTTGCCTCGACGGACGTCGAGAAAGTCTTTGGGCCAGTGGCCCAGGGCCCGCACTCGCTCCTTCTTATACATGGCCAAGGCGTGCAAAATTGGGCATGGATGCTCTGGCCATTCGCACGCACTGGTAACACGGATGTTCTCATCGTGCGGGCATGGATGCGCTGGCCATTCGCACGCACTGGTGACACGGACGTTCTCATCGTGCGGGCTGCGGGCATGGATGCTCTGGCCATTCGCACGCACTGGTGACACGGACGTTCTCATCGTGCGGGCTGCGGGCATGGATGCTCTGGCCATTCGCACGGACTGGTGGACAACGTGGCAGGCGTGTGCTTTTCTATGTGCAGGGCACCAAAAACACTGTAAATACCGACGTGGCCGGGGCGTCGCCGGCGCGCGTTTACGTGCCGTTGGAGCCCCAAACAATAGAAGAAGCAAATGGTAGAATACTGAATGTTGAGGGTTTGGCAGGCAACCCTAAACCCTAAACCCTAAACCCTAAACCCTAAACCCTAAACCCTAAACCCTAAACCCTAAACCCTAAACCCTGCAAGCTGACAACTCCAGCAGCCAGGTTCCTCGAGATGCAGAAGCCCGGGGAGGCGAAGAGTGTTTAGGGCTTAGGGTTTAGGGTTTAATTAGGGTTTCGGGTTTAGGGTTTAGGGTTTAGGGTTTAGGGTTTGAGGCCTGAAGGAGTTGGGTTCCGGCGGTCCATGTCCTAGGGCCGCAATCCTTTCAAACGCATCGAACCTCTCCTTGACCTTCTGTCTGCTTGATGAGGGAGGGTTTAGGGTTTTAGGGTTTAGGGTTTAGGGCTTAGGGTTTAGGGTTTAGGGTTTAGGGTTTAGGGTTTAGGGTTTAGGGTTTAGGGTTTAGGGTTTAGGGTTTAGGGTTTAGGGTTTAGGGTTTAGGGTTTAGGGTAGTCACGGGCCCAAATGTTCAGAGTCACAAGGCTTCGCAGGGAAGTTTCTTTTGCTACAACTCTGCCCCTCACGAAGCGGAGCCCCTGATCCTGCAGCCAGGACAACCCTGATGCGGCCTTGATTCAAAAGGGCCTTTTTCAGGCCGGTCTTGCCTTCTGGTGTAGGTTTGGGGTTTAGTGTTTACGGTTTAGGGTTTAGTGCAGCTGAAGATTACTTTCCAACCCCAGGACAAGCCCCACAGTCTTCTTCCCACCAAAGCACTTGAGAACTCGCATAAGTACTTTTACTCCGCGCCTTATGGATGCTGCATTAAAATTTTAAACCTCCCCCTTTGCAGGATGAACGCGCGCTCAAAGCCTTCCCGTGCGAAACACAGCTAGCAAAGCAAATCGGCTTCAGAATGGTTCAAGGGCTGACGCCCGAAGGACCCACCAAAGTTCAGGCGACACTGGACAGGTTCCAAGGTGTTGCAGCAATGTGGCTCCAAAGCGCTGCCCCAGCGAGTTCCCCTGAATAGTTTAATACCTTGAGCCCCTTTGTTTTGTTGCATGATGACAAACTGAAACCGATGCAAAAGGCCGAAGCAGCAAGCGGCTGTGGCTCCCAAGGGCAAACTCAAAGGTGCAGACCCCGGCCCGCACGCCTTCCACTACGCCAAAAAAGACACACGCCTGATTGCTGTTGTAATGGTAAATTCAATTTGATGAAAAATTCAAAGTAGTAAATAGTTCTGGTTATACCCAAGAGCAAACCCAAGGGTTAAGACCTCGGGCCCTACGAGAAAGGAGTCCCTTCACGTTCGGGACAGGAGGGAAAGAAAGGCACGTGAAACATGGGCAAGTCGTCTTCAGCCGTCCTCGCTCGTCTCCAAGCGTGGCCCGACGCTGGGAGTTGCAGAGCAGCATCTAAACACAAAGGATGGCTGTTACAGTGGGGTTTAGGAGTTTGTTCCTGTGTTCCTGTATTCATCTCAGGCACTGCCAGCACCACCACAACACCACGTGCAAAAAAACGAAGCCCCTGAGACCAGTGAACCTCACAGAGTCCTGGCTTCCAAGCTAAGAGATTTAGAGTTTGCCCTGAAGTCTGAAGGCCTGAAGAAGAGCAGCTCAGCATGCAGTTCAGGGTAAGCCCAAAACGACATTCGTACGTATTCGTACTGTTCTTCTTTGGACAGGATCATCAACAACATAGATGCACAACACTGGGGCCCTATAGTAGAACTCGAAGAGTATCTATGATGTTGGTGTACTAAGAGTATCTATGCTGTTGGTGCACTCTACTCTCTAGAAAGCCTTCTTCCGGCGGGAGGCTTTTGACAGGATGCCGCCGGAGAAGCTGGCCAAGCTGCGTGGGTGCAAAAGGGAATTAGGGTTTAGGGTTTAGGGTTTAGGGTAACCTTCTTGTTGGGGCATTATGGGGTCGATATGGGGGTTTACGAAAAATCAGGGACCCCTAAAATACACACCCAAATGGTGGGATCCCCTTAGAATAAGGACCCCAGTAAGGTGCCCCTAATTTTGGAAATCCTTATATGGACCAGGGTTTATATTACTGTTATTGGTGAGCGTATATGAGGGTCCTTGTTTATATTGGTGAGTGTATATATGGAGTGTCCTTTCGGGGATACAAGGAATATAAGCTCTACTTATGGCATGGGGAATGAGGATACAAGGTCTTCAAGGTCTTTGGCATGTTGACCGGAAAGTCTTTCGCATCTAGCTGTTTCGTAAGTCTTCCAGAGACCAGAAGCCCTACCTTTCATTGTGCTGCCCAAAGCTTTCAGGGGTTAGGCACAGAATCCTTGTGAAAATCGGGTGGAGGGGTTCGCGTTTCCCATAAGGCTACGAATACAGAAGATTCTTACGGTTTGGAGCGCCTTGGCAATTCAAAGATCCTTATAGATGAGCTGCATATAAAGGGCAGTTAACAGAAGAGCGAGGGCACACCAAGAAACCCCGAAACCTTAGCCAATCCTCACCCCCTGGCCCCAACCCCAAGCCGCTAGAGCCATCCAAAGCCCTTGGGTTTAGGGTTTGGGGTTTAGGGTTTGGGGTTGAGGGTTTGGGGTGTTGAGGCTTGAGGGTTGAGGGTCACTTCACTTAGGCTAATGGTGATGTTCGGACCTCGGGCGAAATCGACGCCCTCGTCGGAGGCCTTGGGGAGGGTGTGGGACGAAAGTAACCTACTTTTTTAATCTGTCGTATCAAGCTCTGTAAAGTTCAGTGTTTCTAAGGGCTGGTTGAACGCTAGGGCATCAAAAGCAGGGGCCAGGTGCTTCACAAAAAAGTGCTTGATGCTAGGAACTCCACATGCTCAGCAGACTTGATCCGATGCCTTCATCATGTTCACTGCAAGCGGGAGGTTGCCTACACTCCTGATGTATGGCACCTCGCCCCCCATAACGTAAGTCAGGAACTCCCCACCCGACACCAGCCAAGATTGCTAGTACCTTCGTGGAGGGCCCGACCTACGTTCCATCCATTGCAAACAAAGCCATAATCACGAAAGCTAGCGTAGCTAGGCTTGGGTTAGTCTCTGCGTTGGTAGGGGACCAACCCCGTTGAAGGAAAAGGGGGGGAGCAGTCTTGAATCTGTCAAGAGATTTTGCACGGGGGGGGGGGGGGGGGGGGGGGGGGGGGGGGGCAGAAAAAATGAGGGGGGGATGGGTGGCGATAGTGCGCAGTCGTTGCGTTATGGATCGCGCTCGCCTAGGGATTGTGGTCGTGGTGGAGTGTGGAGTGCGGTGTTCTGTGGTGGTGGTTATGGTGTTGCTGCGTGGTTGGAGTGTGGATGTCTGTTGTGGCGGCGGCGGTGGTGGTGGTGGTGGGCGGTGTGTCTAATCCATATGGGCATCTTTCCAGGCTAGCTTTCGTCGTCCTCGGCTGTGCCCCTCAAGCGTACAACTGATGGCAAGACGCTCGCAAAAAGCCTCGCTACACCCTGGACAGAATAATATCCCACCAAATCCCGCGCAGCCTTCCGTAGGAGGTGGAGGAGTTTCATGCACTCTGCCAAGAGATTCAGGCCGTCTGTTGCAATATGGGGGTTTACGATAATAAGGAGCCTCGAGTACAGACCCCCAAATAGCAGGATTCCCTTGTAACAAGGACTCCACTGAGGTACCCCTAATATCGGAAACCCCCATATGAGGAGAGGATCTTAAGGCTTCTGAAGGCTTTCTAAGAGATGACACGATTCGGCGGGGGGGGGGGGGGGGGGGGAGTTTAGGGTTCAGGGTTTAGGGTTTTGTGTTTAGGGTTTAGGGTTTAGGGTTTCGGGTTTAGGGTTTAGGGTTTAGGGTGTTGTGGGCATGTTAAGGCTCAGGGCTGCAGAGTCCCCCCTCCCCTGGAAGCCCCCCAATCTTGGCGAGCGCTTCATGTTTGGCTTCGGGCTTGAGCCGAGGGTTTGGGTAGGAAGGTTGAGTTGGGGCTATACGAAAATTGGGGGTACCCGATGTAGATCCCCAAATACTAGGATCCCCTTGTAATACGGACCCGAATAAGATACCCCGAACTTTCGAAAACCCTAAGAGGAACTTCAGCTCTGGAGCATGAGCATGCCGCGACAAGCCAAGATCTACAGAGATCGAAGTCCGGGATTGTGGATGCTTGGGGTTTAAGGGTTGGTGGGGGTGTTCCTGCATCTGCTTAAGTTTGCGCGGGCACTCGCCAAAGGTTCCATTCTGGAGCGTCGGGGGAGCCAATTGGCTCCATGTTCAGTCCAGTCTCAATGAAGCTTGAGGTGTCCTGCCCTAAACCCTAAACCCTAAACCCTAAACCCTAAACCCTAAACCCTAAACCACGTGGTGGGGGCCAATATTCGGAACGTAGGGCTTGCGGTTGCAGGGTAAACCGGCATATGAGGAAATCAAGAAGGGAATCAAAGGAACCCCCTCGGTAGTTCTCCAACGACGTCCCGGCATCAAGGCATCAAGCCTAAACCCAAACGAAGATGCTGGGCGTGGAGCCGACCCCGAACGGATAGGTTGGGTGGCAGGGTTTAGGGTTTAGGGTTTAGGCTTTAGGGTTTAGGCTTTAGGGTTTAGGCTTTAGGGTTTAGGGTTTAGGGTTCACACACCCTGAAGCAAGACGCTTGCTGCCCCGAAGAAGCGGTCAGGTGGAATACCCAACCCCAACAGATGCTGGGTAAGGAGCTTTAACCTTAACTTAAAAGGACAGGTTGGGTGACAACCGGTTGGGAGGACAAGCCCCACCCCTGAAAGGTGATGTGGCGGAGAACCCTAGACAGGAGAGATCATGTCGGCTGGCAAACCTTAAGTCCTAACAATATACCCGTGGGTGGCAAACCCCGAACCGTAAGAATCAATGTGTGGGAGCCCTAAACCCTAAACCCTAAACCCCAAACCCTAAAAAAGATGCTGGGTGTGGAGCCCGAGACCTTGAAAGGACAGTTTAACTACATACGTGGAAATCAGCAAGCCCTAAACCCTAAACCCCAAACCCTAAACCCTAAACCCTAAGCCCTAAACCATCGAAGGGCACCGGGTGAGTGGGGACGAATGGCCCTGAAGAAGGGATGTTGGTCTGTATCAACGCCCTTAAGTCGAAAAGGACCGGGCAAGACCCTAAACACGAAAATCACTAAGGTTGCTCAAGGAAAAGATGTCAGGCACAAGCCCTTAAGCTTGGCACCCCATTGAAGTATCATGCCGGAAATTCGGCAACCAGGGTTTCCGGAGATCGGGATAGACCGGGGAACCCTAAACCCTAAACCCTAAACCCTAAACCCTAAACCCTAAACCCTAAACCCTAAACCCTAAACGGCAGGGTTTTGCCGGCTGTCACACCTGGATGTTTGGCGGGGGCCGAACGATGACAGTTACAAGGATGCGAACCATGTGCCGCCAAGCAAGTCCAAACCCTGAACTTTTGTTCAGAAAGCCTAAACCCTAAACCCTGAACCCTGAACCCTAAACCCAAACCCGAAGCCCCTTGGCATTTGCAATGACCCCTGCCCGGTAGGCCCTGATGCCGGCCGACGCCGCCGAGCGCATGCAGCAGAGCAGCAGCCGCCTGGAGGAATGATCTTCCGCTGTGTAGCACTAAACCCTAAACCCTAAACCCTAAACCCTAAACCCTAAACCCTAAACCCTAAACCCTAAGACCGAACCCGCGTTTCGGTTGGCCCATGTCGATACCTGTTGAATTTTCCTTTTGGGGACTTTGGGGCGGTTTAGGGTTAGGGTTTAGGGTTGTAGGTTTTAGGGTTTTAGGGTTTTAGGGTTTTAGGGTTTTAGGGTTTTAGGGTTTTAGGGTTTTAGGGTTTTAGGGTTTTAGGGTTTTAGGGTTTTAGGGTTTTAGGGTTTTAGGGTTTTAGGGTTTTAGGCTTTAAGCTTTAGGCTTTAGACTTTAGGCTTTAAGCTTTAGGCTTTAGGCCTTAGGCTTTAGGCTTTAGGCTTTAGGCTTTAGGCTTTAGGCTTTAAGCTTTAGGCTTTAGGCCTTAGGCTTTAGGCTTTAGGCTTTAGGGTTGGGATGCATCCTTGAGGAAACCATCATCGTTCCCTCTGTTAGAGGTAGTGCCAGTGGCATGCATTGCCCCGAAGAATCCCCTCCCCTAAATCCCTTCCCCTAATATTACACTACCCGAACTACCCCCTAGTATTGAATACCCCTGCCCCCCCCCCATATACTATAAAAATACTCTACTGGGAGTATTTAATATTCCGGGTTGGTGGGGTTTTAATACTAGGGGGGGAGGGGGATTAACAACAACCAAGGGGGGGATTGCGGCGGTGACGTAAACATGGTGGCAAGCACCAAAGGTGGCAAAATGTGGCAAATGTCTAAACCCTAAACCTTCAACCCCAAACCCCAAGCCCTAAACCCCAAACCCTAAACCCGAAGCCCCAAACCTTAAACCCCAAACCCTAAACCCTAAACCCCAAACCCTAAAACCCTGAACCCTAGCAGGCTTAAGGAGTTCCTTGCTGCAGTCGCCAGTTTCCATGCAACTGTACCGGGCCTACGCACTGAGCCTCCTGCAAGTATCCATGCTTCAACGCCGAAACCCTAAACCCTAAACCCTAAACCCTAAACCCTAAACCCCGTTTTCTGTTTACTTGCGTTTCCTCCTCGGTGTCGAAGCCCCCGGTTCCAAGGCAACTTCCTGGAGGGCGTAATGTCCGCCATGCCAGGCAGCAGAGACTTGCAAGCGGTTTAGGGTTTCGGGCTGAGGGTTTAGGGTTTAGGGTTTAGGGTTTAGGGTTTAGGGTTTAGGGTTTAGGGTTTAGGGTTTAGGGTTTAGGTTTAGCAGGGCGGGCAATTCTACCCTGTAACCCCCTTAAACAGGCCCTTTATAGGGTTCATTATGGGTACTTTTGGGGTTCTAACCCTATAACCCCCCTTAAACAGGCCCTGGATTATAGGGCCTAATAGGCCACCCTGGAAGGGCGGACCATTTTGTGCCACAACTTTGCAGAAGGCCAGGTATGGAGTGCACTCAAGGTCCTGGACCCCTGGATCTAGCAGAATGTTTCTCAAAGTTGTGTTGAGTTCGGTCCTTTCGGCATCACAATCAGAAAGCTGTTCCGAAACATAAGGGAAACATGACCGAAGATAAAACACACAGGTGCAGCAAGAATATAAACTACAACGGTATGTCGAGCGCGATGTGTATTTACCCACTGTAGCGTCAGGTCTTCCGAAGGCCCACAATATTATTCTTCTTTAGTGGATGTTGAAGGGCACTTAGAGCTCCCACACGACGACCCACCCCGGCCCCTCCCTCCCCCCTCCCCCCCTTGCCCCGCGCTCTTCCCCCCCTCAACCCACGATGCTTGGGACTTCTTTTGCAATCAGGGGCCCTGCCGCCCAGTAATCCTGGCACAAACAAAAGCTGCGCATTTGGGTAGTTGCACACATGGCATTCAACTTTCAATAGCCTTGCCCAACCAGCAGGCGCTGACATTACGCCGCAGTCCATCACCAAAGCCAGTCCTGACGCCACGGCGTGAACGCCACAAGCCGGCAAACGTCCAGAGGTAAACCTCCTCCAAGTTTTAGCATTGTCCAGCTTTTGCAGAAGGGGCTTCCCACGGCCCCATCCTCTAAAACCTATAGAGCTTAGCCCACAGCCGTTGAACCTGCAATCCCCAGAGCCTCAACCTCCAACCCCTAAACCCTAAACCCCTTGCGAAGCTTTTCAATGCCATCCCTAGTGGCCAGAGTGCAAAGAAGCACGCTGGGCTTCGACGGCGGATTCTGACTCGGAGAAGACTTAACGTTTTAGGGTGTAGGGTTTAGGGTTTAGGGTTTAAGGTTCATTTTCCGGATTTCTCCTTCAAATCCTCAAGTTGAGTGTTCAAGGTATGGGGTTCAGCAAAGCTTGCCAGTTCTTAGGATGAAGGAGTGCCGCCGTCCGTTTTTTAACCGGTGTTTGCCAGGCTTCAGTAAGTGCTGCAGTACAGGCCCTGAAGCAAAGCCGACGGGCTGTTCTTGAGATTGCCGACGAAAAGGATGCTCAAGTGATACGGGTTTAGGGTTTAAGGTTTAGGGTTTAGGATACAAGCAAATGTCATCATCTCCTGTGCCGGTCCTAGCGCTTCCTCTTCATGTTCTCTTGCCAACTAAAACTATTTTGGGAATCACATGCGAGGTGCTCTCTTGGTGCGGGGTATTCACCAATCAGTTAGCACAGTCAGTTTTCGCATGCCTTTCCAAAACTAAGAAGCCTGCACGGACGGTATTTCCCAGTTTGGTATTGAAGGCTTCGTGGCCTTCAGCAAGCGACATAAACATGCTGATCGAATAGACATACGATTGCCTGACAGAGAAAACCTTCGAAAGACCACCAGGTTCAGGTCAGACGAATATCTGGCCCGCACCCACAGCTTGAAACTTTTCTTTGCATGAGAGCTGCCTGGCATTCATTCGCATGATTTTTGCAGAAGAATTGCACTGTTAGTGCTGGGTCGATTTGCCAATGTGCTTCTGTTCTTGATTGCGTGCCATTGAGTCCTCTTCAACAGCAAAGCCCACTCAGCTTTCCTCCTGGATTCATCGTAGATTTCCTGGTGGATTCCGTGTGTTCGATCTCCGCCGCAGCGGCTTTGTCAGCTCAGTAGGTCCCAGTATCCCGACCCGAGGATGTCCGGATACCGCCACTTACATAGCCAATAGTTGAACTTTGAACTTTGGATTTCCTTATTTAGTAGGAAAAATACAGTTTAACCATATTTTTCCCTTGGTTACTGGAGAAGTAAACCCTAAACCCTAAACCCTAAACCCTAAACCCGAAACCCTAAACCCTAAACCCTAAACCCTAAACGAAGGCCAAGACCGGCCGCCCGCGGCCCGGAACGCCCGAGCCCTCGCCTCGGGTGGCGTCGGCCTGGACCCTCCTGTTGCTGGCGTAAGTCGCTCCTTAGGGATACTTGGGAAATGGTTTGTTTCGGGTTTAGGGTTTAGGGTTGGTTCAGGGTTCAGGGTTTAGGGTTTAGGTCTGAAAATCCTAAGAAACAGCTCACATGACAAGTTTTGGGTACTCTAATTCCCAAGAAACAGCTGGAAAATTATAATTTTGCTAGGGTTCCAAGCGAAGCCCTAAGCCCTAAACCTTAAACCCTAAACCCTACACCCTAAACCCTAAACCCTGGTTCAGTAAGAAGGCTCGGTGACCGGGGCTGGGCCACGGCGGAGCCGGGCCCTGACGGAGCAAAGCCCGGTGGCGGCCTTCTTGCGGGAGATTGGGCTGGGGCAGTACCTCGGTTTAGGGTTTAGGGTTTAGGGTTGATTGGTATTATTATTATTGTGATTATTTTTCTTGGGTTTAAGAGTTTAAGGGGCCATATTCAGGAATATTTTTTAAGGGGCAGTGCCTTTGTCATAGCGGGGTCACATTTTGCAGTTTTTAGTGTACTTAAACTCACTCAGGAATGGAAATTTAGAACTTTTTTAGTTTCCCATTGTTGGGTTTAAGAGGATCATATTCAGGAAATTTTGTTCAGAGGGTTTTACGGGCCATCCTAGGTACAGTCAGGCAATGCGGAACCATGGCTTTGAGGACTTGGAGACGCTGATGGCCATGGGGGAGGAGCACCCTAGTAGTAGAGTAGGTAACCTTTGACCTTTTTTTGGGGGGGGTTTTTGAACCCTAAACCCTAAACCCCCAAACCTTAAACCCTAAACCCTCATCCCAAAGCTTAACCTTTAGTTCCCCCAGGTTGCTGGACAACTAAGGCACATGCGCGAGCTGGGGATGCCAGCGGGGCACATCGTGAAGCTGAAGAAGCATTTGCGGGAGTGCGAGGGAGAGATGGGATGCGCGCCCGCGCAACAAGTGCTGGCCACCGCCTCCCCGCTCCGTGCGAGCCTCTTGGTAACCCAGTGGTGCCCTGTTCCCTTTTTTGTCCCTTATAAAGTAACCAACCCAAGAAAAGGTGCCCTTATTACTAAACGGCTAAACCCTAAACCCTAAACCCTAAACCCTAAACCCTAAACCCTAAACCCTAAACCCTACCGGGGCTACCAAGGCCTCTGTGGGCCCGGAAAGCTTGACACCATGACAGCTGTTCAGCGGAGCTGGCAGCAAGTGAAGGAGATGGGCACGGACGTCTTTGGCGGTCTGTTTTACAAGAGGTTCTTCCAGCTGGAGCCCGCAGCCACGTCTTTGTTTCCATTGTCTTTGCGCTCGCGCTACAAGAATTGGGACTCAGACCAGCAAGAAACCGAAGATCTTTCGGAGTCTCCCGCACTTCGCAGGATCTTTGGCCGTTTTCTTGAAGCTTGGTAGCCCCGTGGTACCCTTTACCCTTTTTTTTGGTTCTGGTTTCGCTTATAGAGTAACCAACCAAAAAAAGGGTGCCCTTAGTATAATACGGTTTAGGGCTTAGGGTTTAGGGCTACCGAGGAAGTGATTGGTAGTGCCGTCGCGGGACTCCAAGATACGGCCAAGATGGTTCCCATGCTCCGGGAGTTGGGGCTGCGCCACGTGGGGTATCTTTGTCAGGGTTTAGGGTTCAGGGTTTAGGGTTTAGGGTTTAGGGACATTTTAAGGGTACTTAAACCCAATAAGGAGTAAACTTATACTTGTTTAAATATTCTTCCAACCATGAACTAGGTATGGCCTCAAGGCTGAGTATTTCGATCTGGCTGGTACGGTGCTGCTTGAAGTGCTGGCAGAGTGGCTTGGAGACAGCTTCAACCGGGAGGTCGAGAACACGTGGGTCATGGTCTCCGGCTTTGTGATCGCAACCATCGCCTCCGGCTTCACGTCGGCGCTGGCGGACATCAAAGCCAAGCAGGCGGAATTGGCTCAGTTCAATCAGGTGAGGTGTGCATCAAATGGTTCAATGGAGCCACCCACTCCTGGCTCCACGGCTGGCTCCATCCGGCTTCCTTGTGACAAGGCAAGCGATGCTGGGAGTGCTCAGGCCGGAGGATCTGCAGATTTTGGCACCCAATCTGCCCATACGCCCATTGCAAGCGTGCGTGACTCGGCCTCTGGAAATGATCAGTTTTCGATGAGCGAGGCGAGCAAAGGCAACAACTACCCCCCTCGGCTGAAAATTCTCGTGGATGGCTCCAGTGGAGGTTGCTACGGCACCTTAGTAGCTGAGTGAGTACACTTTATACTTTTTGGGATACTATACTCCCCTATAGAACGGAAAGTGTACACTTTTTTGGGGAACCCTAAACCCTAAACCCTAAACCCTAAACCCTAAACCCTAAACCCTAAACCCTAAACCCTAAACCGGGCTTCTGAACGCAGCAACTAAGGCATTGAGTGGACGCTGACAGAGAGCGGCCGTCTTGTGCACAACAGCCACTACGATCCGGAGTGGCACGTCGATGCCATGGGGCCCAGCTACTTAGTAGCTGAATGAGGTTTAGGGTTTAGGGCTTAGGGCTTAGGGCTTTAGGGTTTAGGGTCTAGGGTTTAGGGTTTAGGGTTGAGTACACTTTACACTTTTTGGGATACTAAGTGTACACCTATTTGGGGGGCTTGTGAACCCAGCAACTAAGGCTACAAAGGGGGCTTCTCCAAACGCTCGGTGACCTATTCCTTCATGCCGGGGCAGGGTGCAGTAGGAGAAGCCTTTGCAAGAAACTTGGTAACCCAGTCGTACCCTTTCGCCTTCTTTTGCTTCAAGGTCCCCTTGTAAAGTATGCAATCCCAAGAAGAGTACCCTTACTACAATCTAAGAGGCGCATGAGGTAAAACATTGATGAGGTGCCCCTTTGGCCTTCGGAACACGAGTAGGGGAGCTAGATATTTCCTTCGCTGAAACCCTGGTATTCTGTGATATTTTGCTGAAATCCATTTCTCAAACCTTTTTATTAGAAAGCTGTAGGGCTGTCGGGCGTAGACTGTAAGGATCAGGGATTTGGAAATTTATTGTCGCCAAAGCTCTTGGAAGCATTGGCGAGAGTTGTTTGCGATTAGCTTGGGGCCCCGGGGGCTTGCCCGAAACCGGGAAAAAACATAGCTTTTTCTAGTTTGTTCTAGCTTTTTCTAGCTTTGGGGCCCCGGGGGCTTGCCCGAAAACCGGGCTAGCTTTTTCTAGCTTTTGCTAGCCTTGCCTAGCCTTCTCTAGCCTTTCGTAGCAGATCGGGGCCCGATTCCAGGAAGGATTTAGCGAGCCGGGGTCTGAACACAGGAATGTCGTAGCAAGGTGGATGGCCAGCAAAAAAAGTCAAAGTCCACTTCTGATTGCCAGGAATCAGTATTGTATGAATGCGTAGATTTTAAGGCCGATGCCAGTAAGTAACGCCCAAACCTCAGGCGCCGACAGGTACAATTTCAGATTAGATTTGATTGAAATAGCAAGCTGTAGTTTCCTGCCGGCATCTTCTGTACAGGCCCTTCAAAGGCATGCTTCACCCCAGGAAATTCGTAGCTTATCTTAGCTTATCTTAGCTTATATTAGCTTCTCCTAGCTTTGCCTAGCTTTCTCAGGTTTCCTTCAGTTTTCAGTGGAACGCATTGGAATTCTAGATTTTTCCGGTAATCCAAAGACGAGCCTGATCATTGTTTTACCTCATGTGTTCTTATGATACAAGATGGTTTTCTGGGCCACCAAGGAAAGGAGCTTATCTTCTTACAGGAAGTCCAGAGGCTCAATCGACACCTCTCCACCCCCTTCCAGCGTGCGGACTTGGCCAAGGAGTTCGGCATCCACTCGATTTTGTTTGTGCCTTATCCTGATGGAGTCTGGGTAGCCCATCGGTACCCTTTTTACCCCTTTTTTTTTGGTTTGTGGGTTCCCTTTATAAAAACAGCCAACCCAAAAATAGAAAAGGTGCCCTCTTATCAGAAGATGGCTGCTGGGCTACCAAGGAGTTTTGGAGATCGGTTCCACCAAGAAGTTCGCGACAAGCGCAGACTTCCTCCCTCGAAATCTCCTGACGGATTGTTCCTGATCTGAGCACCGTTGCCGTGCTCCTGGCAAGCGGAGTGGCCTTGTGGACGTATAGATGGTCATCAGCTTCATCCATAAAGGCATGATGTGGGTCTCTACCCCGTTTTTTGCTTTGTTTTTGCAAGTTCGCTCCTGTTGCAATTTTTGTTGTGGTTTATGTTTGCGCCTTCCCCCCCGCGCGGGATGGGTGCCCGGGAGGTTGCAAGTGAGTGAACAGCCTGGCAAACCCGCAGCATCAAAAAGCCCACCCGTGTTTTGCTTTTGTTTTGTATTCCCCGCTCCCGCTGCGGACCTGGCGAAGGAGCAGCAAAAAAAGCACCCGCCCTCCTTGTTGTTTTTGCTGTGTCTTCCGCCCTCCACCCCAGAGAATGCGCAGCCACAAAAAAGGCATCCGTCCCCCCTGCGCCGTGATTTGGTTTCCCGCCTCACACGTAGCTTTGCTTGGTCATAAACAGAAAACGAGTTTTGTTTTGCTGAGCGTTCGTTCTTGCTGAACAGTCAAAGAAACCGTAGTAAACGTGAACATAATTTTTTTAAAATCACAGCAATAGCAGTATTAAAACCAAAATATCACAGGCAATCAGAAGCAGGAACAATCGTAGTACCAACAATAGTAGTTGCTAACAGCATAATTCAAAACCTCGTAATACTATGTTGCCACGCGTGATAGGCATCATGCTCGTAACAAGAATACGTCTAATGCAGCGCGAAGGGAATGCAAAACAAAAACGGGGTGTTTTTTGCTGTGCATTCGCTGCCGGGGCAGACCGGCAGCAGCGAACTCCGAACAAAAGATAACGCTTTCTCTGTTCATGCTTTGTGACAGTGAACGCGGAGCAAATAAGAAACGTGTTGTCTGTTTTTGCGAGTTGGGCTTTGATTTGGCTGCTGCGGCAGACCGGCAGCAGCGAAAGCTGAGGAAGAAAAGACCTCGTTTTTAGGGTTTAGGGTTTAGGGTTTAGGGTTTAGGGTTTAGGGTTTAGGGTTTAGGGTTTAGGGGTGCTCGTCGCTGTGCAATTAGCCGTGTGGGGCAGACCGGGTGCGACGAGAGCGACAGTTTGGCGGGCAGAGGGCACCCAGAGCAAAACGGAGCGCGGAGCAAAACCCTAAACCCTAAACCCTAAACCCTAAACCCTAAACCAAAAAACACTCTTACAGTTTGCGGTTGGATTTGTCAGATGTACTTCCCAATAGTAGGTAGCTTAGTTTCGTTTGGGACAGGGAAGATGTCTTAAAGAAGTTGAAGACCATTGTCTTTGCCGCCAACGTGCGGAAAACCGATTCCAGGGGAGTGCTTCGGGCACCAGAACAAGGCCGTTTCTTCCCAATGCCCCTAGGCTGCGCGATTCGGTTGGAGCAACCAGTTTCGCGCACGTCAGAGGCACGATTTACAGCGGCCATGCTTTCCAAGTCACTGCCAAATCATGGCACTTTCCCTGAATTCATGATTCTGAGAGACGTGTGAGGCAAAAAAGGATGGACATGTCTTGGTGTGAGATCGGCACATGAGGCGGTAACGAGCCCAGCCATTTTTTGAATCAGTTGAGGTCCTTCCAGGAACTGTACCTGCACTTTGGTATTCATTTGTCACCCTAGCTGACAAGCTCGTCGCTATGTCCTTCAGTCACGGTTGTTTCCAAGTAGCTGGGAGTGCCTGGCAGTCGAATGTACCCATGCGCAGCGGCACCTGAACCAGCACCGCAATGATGCAGATACTGTATAGGCAGTCGACATTCATGTTACAGCTTCTTTATGCCACTCCCCCACTCCCCCACTCCCCCACTCCCCCACTCCCCCGCCAGACCCTTTCCAGATGCCCCCCAGATGCCCCCCTCAGCTCCAGTTCCCAGATGCCCCCCCGCCCCTCCCAGATGGGCCTCTGGATCCAGAGGCCAAAACGGTGGCCTAAACCCTAAACCCTAAACCCTAAACCCTAAACCCTAAACCCTAAACCCTAAACCCTAAACCCTAAACCCTAAACCCTAAACCCTAAACCCTAAACCCTAAACCCTAAACGGCTTTTGGTCTTCTTAGGAGCCACCTTTGCTGTTCTGAAGGCCTTCATGGGCCTCAAAAACGGGGGCACTTATTCTTAGGAGGCACCTTTAGCATGCTGAACTTCGGGGCCTCCAAAACGGCGGCTGTCGCCGGGGCACTTATTCTTAGGAGCTACCTCTGGTATTCTGAAGGGCTTCACAATCAGAATACAGTCAAGAATGCATTCAGAACGCAATCAGAATACAGCCTCATGTTGTGCCATGCTGCACTCAATGATGGAGGCGGCCTTTAGGGTTTAGGGTTTAGGGTTTAGGGTTTAGGGCTTAGGGCTTAGGGCTTAGGGTTTAGGATTCCTGAATCCGACTTGACTCGCACAACCCCAACTCTTTGAACGTTTCGAAACCTTTCGGCTCAGCGGGCCGCGCCAACCTGGGCGCCATGGCTACGCGTGGGAAGCAGGGGAGCCGGGCTTGCGGGTTTAGGGTTTAGGGCTTATGAGGTTTAGGCTAAGGGTTTAGAGTCTGCGTGTAGGGTTTTAGATGTAGGTGATCCAGAGTGGAGCCACAGCAGTCTGATGTCAGAAGGCTTGCATGCAGCGTGAACTACAAGCAGAAGCCCGGGGTCCTTTGTAGACAGTGAAACCTTTCGATATCCCTAAGTTACCTAAGCATGTCCTCGAATGCCAGCTTGTCATGGGGCCACCCTGAAACCCTGAACCCTAAACCCTACACCCTAAACCCTAAACCCTAAATCTTGTGTTTTTTTCTGAGGTTGGGGGACCTTCTCCTGGCCCCGGAGAACCCGGATGCGGTGATCCGGTCGGAAGATTGGCAGGCGGATTCAAGGTTTAAGGTTTAGGGTTTAGGGTTTAGGGTTTGGACTTGTTGGGTCCTTCAGAGTCGGAGAGTTGCATAACTTGCTGGTTTTTAGTGGGGAGTGAGGGAATCAGGCACCCGATGCCTCCTGATATTTCAGGGATTGGGCTAATTGCCCCCATTCCCTACTAAGAAACCCTAAACCCTAAACCCTAAAACCCTAAGAACCAGGGGCATAAGGCTTTGCAGGGGAGTTCTCTCCTTGGGAGCTTCCTTGCTGTAGCAACTGCCAAGTTATACATACCCCGAACCAGGAGATGGGCTTAGCAACATGCTGGGGGATGACGCATGTCTCGAAAACTATCTGGAAGGGGACTGTAGCTCGAGGCTCCGTCAGAAAATCTTAATTCGCTGGGAACTGAAGAGGCTCCAGGATGGAGTGGAGGACCGGAATCTCGGAATCTAATGCCCTGACCCGAAAATGGGTGATCTGTTTTGATCTTCGTGCTTCTCGTACTGTAGGAGTCGATGACTTGATGCGTCGGATGGCCTGACACATACAACATGCATCTTCGACACACCCACGTATGCCTGCCAATGATCCGAAGCTTCATTTTCCTCCAGAAAACTTTGTGGTGCTTTACTGTAACTGTACATCTTTAGCCTTTTTGGGTTTATTGGGTTTCTTAAGAAGGCAGCTAAAAATTAAATTCATAGCTACCCTCCTAAGTGCAGCCAGGAAAAGACGAGGCTTTTTTTCAAGCCTTATGAGTAGCTGGTTGAGTGCTGGGTATCCAGAACTACCAGAAGCAACTGAAGTTTGAAATCTAGCATCTGTACATGCAGCACAAAGTTAAACATGTGAGACCAACGCGACAGCCACAATTTTCGGGCTTGTCATTTGATTCAGTGAGGTTGATACATGAAACATCGCAAAAAAGCCGTAACACAAACGTGATCAAACCTGTTAAACCGGCACGTTGTCTGCAAACGCGGGCTCTAAGTTCGTCTTCCTCCCAAGAAAAGTTACATGAAAACCTCACTTGCAACTTCGATGGCGTGCAACCGCACGCAATGCGATGTTCGAGGTGTCCTTGAGATTTCGCGCTTTGGGAGCCAGGCCAAGTCGCCTCTCGCAAGAGCCACGGGGCACTACAGCATGCGTAAGCAGTAATGTGGGTTTCGGAATACGTACCAACCGTATTCCCCTAGGACCCCTTTATAATTATACTACAGTAACCTCCCCAAACCCTATTATTTCAAGCCCCTATATGATGAGCTGCTTCTCTCAAGGTCACCTGCACTCAACACAGCACGCAAGGGTTTCGCTGCTTGATGAAGACCTGTTAGCAAGAACAACGTTCCCGCCAATCCCAAAGCCCATACAGGAGGCCATCCGGAAAGGATGCGAGATGGTCCAGGTGGCCAGTGAGCGCAAGGCTCGAAACACCTGAATGCCTGAATCGTAGAAGAAGTGATGAAGTGTCAACGTCAAACTTCGGGTTTCCTACTCAGGACATCAGGTTCCGGGCTTCGGGCTGAGGCTTTGGTCTGGGAGGAGGGTGTTCTGAAGACGTAGGGTTTGTGCATCTGTTTGTGGTAAAGTGCCTCCGGCGTGTCTTCGCCATGAAGTGGTCTAAGCTCTTCTGTTCTTCTGCTCATGGCACCCGAACTATGTTCCGTGATTTTCTGTAGAGGCAAAAGGCCGGCATCAAACTGCTTCGCTCCATGGTTTTTGTTTCTCAACCCGAGGCGCCTTCAACCCCAACACCCAACGGAGCATCGCTCAGTGGAGCCGCCGCAATGCCACGCGTCGCATGTGCTGCAGAGTACTCAGAGTACTCAACGAAAACGAGGAGCCTTCCAAAAGTCTCGCGGATCCCCGGGGTCATCACGCAGGGTGCTGTTTCACACTGCGTGTCTCGACCATCAGCGAGGACAGCAGAACCAGAACGCACTCCGCGCCTTCGAAGATGCACACCCGCTGTTGCGAAATGTCGGAAGTTCTAGAGAGGAACTCCTCAGAGGAGCTACCGCATTGCTACCTTCCAGAAATCCAATCCCCAAAGCCAACTCTTGTGAAGGTTGCACCGATTTTGACATAGCTGATGAGCGCGTCTGCCTTCAGTAGAAGCAGCGTCTATGTTGAATTAAGGTTCACAACCAAAGCTAGATTCACTGAAATTGC